GTGGGCTTGCGAACTCGCATAATTACCTGACTAACGGCGCGTGAAACGCTGAGACTTTAATAGTTTTTCATTTCCTCGAGATAGAACAGAGAAAACGTCAGACAAAATTGAAATAGAGAGTTTTCAGCTCCACTTTGTGTATATGTGCTTGTGTTTTGTTTATATATCCGAGTTTTAGAGTTAAATTATAAGAAGACGTAAACTTAATTGAAATAAAGACTTTTTAACTCCACTTTCTGTATGTGTGTTGTTTATATGTCTGAGTTTTGGCGCTAAATAAGATATAGGAAGCCGTTTCTCGCGTTGCTAGGTGATCGCTTCTCTTATTCCTATTTTGCTTTTTAATAGACGGTCCGAAAACCGGGCTCAAGTTACTTCACGGGCAAGCCCAAGCAAGCCTATTGTGCCTATTGTAGTATTCGCTCATTAGTAAACCTATACCGAATTAGTATGCAGGAACACACTGACTAGGCACTTAATTAGTATGGAGGAAGGCATTTTTTCTCTAGGATAAAACAATGGGTGACGTCATAGACTCGACCCTTATGCATATCAATGATTTACCTATACTATACCTATACCTTTACCTATACACCAAACGGAGGCTTATCTTTGCTGAAGCATAACTACTTCTGTCTTTAATCAGCTGAGAGTTTTTAAAAAAATTGAACAAATTCCCCTCAGACAGTAGTCAGTTAAATTGCTTTGAATAGTTTCATCCAAGGTTTCATTCATTTTTTTACTGTTAACCGCATAAAATGCATTTACATCACACGATAAATTTACAATACATTAAAGATGTTAGACACTTCTCTAAATAATTTATGTTACAAATGCAGGTCAAAATGGTGTTACTGAATGAAAAATGGACTATTATAAAAAGCAAAAAATAATAGAGAAAGTATTTAGCGCAACAAAGAAAATATGTGACTAAGAAAGAAGTCTTTTGCCAAACAAACCAATTCCTCTGCTTTGAATTTCACGACTTGGCGAGTTGAAAAACTTAGCACCTTAGCAACACCCCGTTGTCAGGTTGTTCATGCTCCGTAATACTATGTTAACTACAGCCTGTCGAATTTGTCTCAGTTTCCAACAGTAAATCAAAGGATTTAACGTGGAGTTAAGAAACAACAAAGTCAAACTGTACAGGTCTAAAACAACTGTGCTTGTTAGTGAGAAGAGAGAAATAATTAAGGAAAGGAGGTTTGGCAAATAACAAATTAAAAAAGCAAGATATATTAATAATGTTGCGATTCCAAATTTTCTCATACTAGCAGCGTTCCCCATTTCAACTTCGTTGTTCTGAGCTGTTATAACTTGTAGAGTGGCTTGAATTTGGTTCGCGTGATGTCGTACAACTTCATAAATCTTATAATTAAGGGCCGTCATAGTTAAGAGAAACAAGATATAGATAACTACAAAAATTATGTAAAGAATTTGTTCCGAGATCCACAGTCTCATAAACGACAAAACTGCGCTGAAAGCCCACTTTGAAATAACCGCAGCATAAACACGTTTGTAGGTCACAAGTTCCTGATATCTGAGGTGGAGGTAGATAGCCAGAAATCTATCCAAACTTAAAAGGGTTACTCCGAAGAACGAAGCAAAACCAAACAGATTAAACGTAAAACTAAAGAATTTGTCGGTTATGTCATAAGCTGGATTGTTCTCAGTTTTTTGTTCCATTATCATGACGAAAGAGGCAATGCGCGAAGGCAGCACCATCAAACCAACACCCAGATCAGAAACAGCCAGGCTTAAAAGAAGCGTTTTTAAAGGTCTTGGTAATGATGAGAGTTTTGTTAAGGCGTATATCGTTAAACAGTTTAGCATTACAGCGGTGTAAGATAAGAAAGCGTTCAAAACGCAAGCGGTGATGTATGACGAAGTATTGTCTTCATTTTCCATTGTAGATTTTTCCGTTCAAGAACAGTACAGGGAAAACGCCGAGAAGATAGCTAGCCTCAAAAAGTGAAAGATTTGATAAACTGGCTGCAGTTTCGGCAATTGACGAACAAAAAGCAAAGGCCACAAATGTCAATCTAGTGTTTTGGAAACGTAGGAGGTTGAGGAACTCCTTGACTTGAACTGGAACTCTATGCTTCGTTGTTCATTAATTATAAATTTCAATTTGACAGGGGCACCCAACGAGGATATAGTTCAAAACTACTTAACATAGCATTGTTGAACGTATTTTAGTATTCAAACGGTAGATATAGGCATATTTTTATCCCCAAAAAACTTTTCATCTGTTCGGATTTCCTAGCTGAAAGTTTAGTGATCCGAAAATTATAGGGATAAAAACTTACCTTCTCGAAAATTTCAGCCAGGAAAAGGCTCCCGAAAATTCTAGGTGGCCTTTTTTAGGGTCAAAATCCGTTAAAAATGGGTAATTATACCATTTTGTAGATGTTCGAAAATCCTAGGAGAGGCAGGTAAGCAAGAAATTTTACAGCAAATGCTTCGAAAATTCTAGAACTCAATCGTCTTCCGAACAGATATTTTCCCGAAAATTGCCGTTGGGTGCCCCTGATTTGAGTAAACCTATCGAACATCCCATTTTTATATTGCTGTCTCTGTCAGAGTGTCGACTGAATTCTAAATGCTGATTGGTCAATAACCTGCCATCTTAACCTTGTTACAATTTCTCTACATCAATATAGTCACTAGGGAATCGGTAGTAAATGAAAGAGGGCCGTTTTTACAGATCCTCGCAGCAAACAAAATTCATGAGTTATGGTATCTTCACTTTATCTACAGTAAACAAAACATAACGTTACAACAACAGCCCACAAGGCAGTTGCTAAAGGAATCAAGTAGAAAGCTCACGACGGAGTACACATATCGAGTTCAAATACTTTTCGAAAAAAACTTGTGTTTGTACATTCGACAGCCTCCAGTTTAATTCAGCCTGAATGTCTGAAAAGCGACATAACAAACTGATAGGTTTTTCTATTAAATAACTAATTGTAGCTTGGCCTTGCGGCGGTTTTAATGTTTTGTTTTGCGGCCACTTTGTGAATCGCTTTGTTCAATTACCAGCTGTTTTGTTTTTAGGAATATTTCGACGAGTTTTATTTCATTTTAATTTGTCTTAATTAATTCATATAACAAATAATGCCTTAAGCACCTGTCCTTTAGGTCCCTCGCCCACATTTAATGAATTTTCATTAACACTCCTTGTTTTGCTGTAAAAAAAAAGCGTATCGAAAGCTCCCGATCCATGCTAATGTTTTCTTATCGTTTTGTTATGCATTCTTATTTAGGCTATTCTCGGATCGGTCCGATAAGTAATTTCTGGTTACAGAGACTTTCGCGGCTAAAATTTTTTTTCATTATTATTTTCCATTATTTGTGAGGCCAATTTATTTAGTTTTTAAAATACTTGTTGTTATGGTAACGACTTTATACGATGATCCAGTAACACGAGTCCAAGCCATTTCAATTCCTCTCGGGATCATTTGGAGTCCATTTTCTGAATCATTTGCGGTGTGGAGATCATTTACGGCACTAGTGCGCTAGCTTTAGTAGCGCAAGCGATACTTCCGTCTATTCCCACAATTTACTAAGTTGTAAACATGTCATTCATGAGTGGCTATAATGTGGCGTTTCCAAAACCTTCGCTTTTGCCCTCCACATAGCCTCACCCCAATTTTAAGGACTCTAGTTTGGAGAACGCTCTCGAAAACCTCAATTATCGCTTTGGTGTGGAAACTAGACAAAAACACGCAAAACTATAAGCGTTTACAAACGGCCCCAACTTTAAAAGTTGATTTCTACTGACGCTTTTTTGGCTTCGCACGTTAACGCACGTAAATTCTAATCACGTAAAATAAAATAAAGGAAGGATAAAAAGTGCTGAGCTTAAACGAGGAGTTGAGCGCGGTTCAACTTTTACGTTTACATTGCCTCTATTTTATTTGCGAACGAAAATTTTACGCACGTAAAAATTACGCGACACTGGAAATCAACCCTAAGTGTGGACGAAGTCTTAGCGCTCATGTATAATTTAAACACGGCGAAAAGTACTATATTACTCCTGCATATCATTGTTGTGGATTAAGGACACCCCGGCGTAGACAAGGAACGACACGGAGTGTCTTTCAAGGAGACCGAACACAGATCTCTCGGGAGGCCGGGGTGGGGGGGATTGGGCCGTGAAATATGGCGGACTCTCTTACACTCTTTACTGACTGCGAATAAGGGACCGTTTAACGCAGGAGTGGTTTAAATATTGGTGCAAAACCAATCAGGGGATAGCTTGGGGAATACATTCCCTTTTACCTTGATATACATGGAACTAATGACTTGCATGCATAATAAAGTATGTTTATTAGTCTTACCGAACTGCAAAATCGGATGCCCGATATTTCTTTCTTACTATTAGTGAATACAGCTATTTCGAGAAAAATTGTCGAAAAAAGTGCACGCGACAATTCCGAAAGGTATTGCGGGTGGTTTTGAGTTCACTGTTTTTCAAAGAAATTTGAATGTTTGCGAGTGCTGAAGGAAAGCAACAAAAGTAAGTTCGACAGCTGCAGTGTCGGCAACAGTGTATTGAACATATCCCATATTACCTTTCGAGAATGTCGCGTGCGCTCAAAATAGCTGTATACAGCAGGGGGGGGGGGAGCTACTTCCCATACATTCTCTTAAATGAATCCAAACGATGTTCTCAAAAGTTGCAAAGCGATCATCGAGGGTCTTGCCAGCGGATTTGTGTACTGATCATGTGCATTACGCCAAAAACAAAAGATCAACGGTTTTTGAGAAGGAGCAAAAACATGGCGGTCGAAGGCGGGACTGTTTCTCAGTATTTCTGGGTAACTTTTCTTGCTGAAACCTCGAAAGACTTGGAAATAATCCTCATAACTATTGTACTGAGTTTTACTAATAGTCTTTCACGCACTAGCCTTTGTTTTAGCCTTAAGACAAGTTTCTTTTATTCAAACCTCTTCAGTTTGGCTAAAACTCAGTATTATATTTTGGTAATTCGAAAATTATTGATTTTATCAATGTCGCTTTTCAGTGTTTGGTTCTTTAATCTTTCGATTTCCTCGAGCGGTGAAACGTGTCCAGCACGCGTTGGTTTAAGAATTTACACGGCTGCAGTGACTCTCGCTTGCGTTGTGCAATTTCAGTACCAGAGGACAAATGCGATATGCGAAAAAAGCAAAGAGGAAACAAGAAGCCTTATCCTCAAAAAACAACGATTTCGGATTTAATAAATATGATACATCTCTACAGAAAAACGACACGTCATGTAGCGTTCATTCATTCATGTTCCTTTGAGAGTTCTGCCTGAAGTATTCTTGTTGGAGGTATCTCCAGTTCTTGGTTTACCTAAAAGTAGTAATACAAATCTAGTTACTTCTATCCTAGTGACTTAACTTCTTACAATGTGGCATAGCATTTTTCCATTGGTAAGACTGATGCTTGAAACAAAGAAAACGCAACAGAGGTAAACCATGTAAAATTTGGAGCCGATTTTTGGAGTGGGATTCAAGAACAGCGTGATTGGTTTAGCCTTAGATAATGGTGCTCAAGTAAAGCCGTTAATTTGCTGCTCAACAAAAATCGCTTTTTGTTTTAGAGAGAACTGCGTCAAGTAAAAAAACATGTTCATCATATCCGGATCTAATATTGCTGTCTAATTTTTTCCTGCAAAGAGGGCGTCTAATGAATTTTCAGGATATGCCTTGGACAAGACGCCCACATAAACTATTAAGGCCAGTTTAGGGACAGAGGAGCTCTTCTGGTTTAGAATTTAGAATTTAACACGGCGATAACCGAACCCAGAACGGAAACAAGCAACTTCTTGGAAACAAATATGTTGGCTAAGGTTTGCGCGTGGAGTCGCTAGGCCTTAAAAACATGTAAACGTCAAAAATTACCGAAATGTGATTTTTTTACAGTCAAACCTCCGCTAACGGCCACCTCTCTTCAACTTCCACTTCTTTTTGTCCTGGCGGACAGTCTATTTGTTGACTCTACTAAGTTTAAACCTCTCTACAACGGCAGAATAACCTCCTAACAACGGCCAGTGTTTTCAGCGACTGACAAAAAAAGTCATAAATGGTCACAAAACACTCCTACCTCCCCATAACGTCCACCTCTCCACAACGGCCACTTTCTTTTGTCCCCAAGGTGGCTGTTGTACAGAGGTTTGACTATAAAAACTAAGACGATACTAGGATAATGCTTAGTACTGCTTACCCTAGAGTTCACATACTGATGGAGTAACATCCTTAGCTCAGCATTCTGAAGTAACAAAGAGGAAAACATTTGTTAACGAGGCTATGTCTAGTCTGCTACACAGCCGTTTTTAGTGTCGTCACGCAACGCTCCTCCCCACAAAGGAGGGGGAGAAGCGTTGCGTGACAATACTAAAAACGGCTGTGCAGCAAACTAGGCTATGTCACGCCATTTCCTATCTAAAACAGTAAAACGAGTCTTTCGCGTCAACTGAATTTCAAAAATAATGGTCGCGTTTTGTATTGCGGATGGTAAGGATGGACATGGATTGAAATTTGAAAAAATTCGGCCAACTTTTTCAAGTTTTTAAGGCTATACCTGGAAAAAGTCATCACCAAAATACTACTATAGTTAGTGCTCCCTGATAAAATTTGCTTCATAACTCTATAGGAATATTTTGTGCACAAAATTCCTATAACTTACCAGTCTGTAGAAAGAATTACATTTCGTGTGACCACTCAAACAGAACCCTTCTTAATATAAGCAGTATGTTCTATGCTATTACGTTGTCAGGTAAGGTAAGGTAAAGGCGCACAAGAGCCAAAGCCCCAAACGGCCGGAGCTATCTCGGCTTCCTTAGCATAAAGCATGCCTAGGAGTATTTCTACTACCCCCTGAACGGGAAGATAGCCCATCGCAGGGTCACCCCCCAGCAGTATGTCGCCGGTACCCAATTATACACTTACAATAGGTGAAGAGAAACAAAGTGGAGAAAAGTTTCTTGTCTAAGGAAATAACGCAACGGGAGAAGCTTGAACCCTCCAGATCCGGTGTTTGAGGTCCTAACCACTCGGCTCGCACGCCTCCATTACGTTGCTATTTTTGCATTATTTGACAAATTTTGGATTATACCACGGTCCTTACCTGTTGTCTGAGGGCATCTGTTTCTTGTATCAGTGATGCCCTCTCTGTTAACACAGCCAGATATTTCTCAAACCCATCTAGCAAAGCTGTCCATACTCGCTCTTTCTTCAAGTCGATTACCGAGGACATCTTTTGCCAAAAGCTTTCGTCAAGTCTGTTGAGATAATAAGAATAATTTAAACAAGTTCATTTCTCATTTCAAAATGTCACAAAAAGAGCAACACTAAAATGCCGCCTAAATATTATGCAAACCAAGCTTCAGGATTTAAATTGCCGGTGAGGGGAAATCTCTATTCAGGGCTTCTGATGTTTCGCACGGTCGCAGAGCCGCGAAATTCAGGTAAATCCGCGAAATCCCGCGAAATGCACAAAAACACCCAAAATACCGCGAAATCTTATCAAATACATGTCTGTACAGCAATTTTGAAACTTGTCTCAGCTACTGGGGGTATTTACTAGCCGTAAACTCGCAAATTTATGTCAAAACTTCGTCACTGAAACGTCCAAACAACGTTCCGAAACTACCAGGCGTAGATTATGTTGCGAAAAACTGGGCACTAGCCAGGATGTTAAAGGCTTTGCCATTGGTTCATTTCTTAGAGCGTATTGTTGTTGAAAGAGCAAATGATGTTCTCTGTTAGAAAAACATTAAAAACGCTGGTCTGATCAGCGCAAAACCGATCGATTTCTTGCGAAATTTGCCCTGAAAATAACCACAAAATCCGCCGTTTTTTTACCGACTGCTTTCCGGCCAAGTTTGCCCTGAAAATTCCCGCGAAATTCCCGCGAAATCGGCCCATTTTTCCGCGATTTTGTCCCCCAAAATCCCTCGAAATTTGATTTTTTTTCCGCGAATTATCAGAAGCCCTGTCTATTTCTTATAATCTCGTTGGCTTCTCGGGGATTTCTCTGCCACAGTCAACTTCCCAGCTGTTAATCTATTTGATATGCTTTTCCCGCTACTTACTGTAATTATTTTGCGTAGCAAAAATAATAAAATAAAATAAATAACCTTGCTATTATTAGATTTTTTAGTAGATTATTATTATTATTATTATTATTATCATCATCATCATCACCATCATTATTATAATAGCCAAATCAAGAATAAAGGTATACATACGTTGTAATTCTTCCAACTTCAGTCCCAAGCTTTATACTTTGACGCTTAGTCTCCCTTGAAAGAAAACAAAAATGATGCGTTTACGAATCTGTATTTTTCAAAGTGGAAAAATTAGGATTTTGTCCACCTAAAATAACGACACTTACTTTTGGGGCTGGCGGTTTTCTTGCACAAATTGCCTTAATGATTTAACAACTTCGTTCGGGTGAATAAGTTGTGTCATTTCTGTAAAAGAATTAAAAAAAATAAAACATTCTTATTTTACTTCACGGAACAGACACAGAAAGTGGTGTAGAAACATTTCAACATACCTTAAAACCACCAGATACATTGGCCTGTAGCGCAGGCGTTTTATTTTTCGTGTAAGCGCACATAAAGTATAGTGTATTGCCTTATTTGGGTGGGCCGGAAGCTCTAAGAACGGCTCACAGGATTGGTTTAAAAAACAATAGATGGCCCTAACCCAAACACAACTAACAATGAACCCCAACTCTGAAGCAACAGAGCTTCGGGCCAACAAGAACCTATCAAATTAGAGGTTCTAAAGGGGTCTGGCCAACAGCCTTATTTGGTTTTTAAAGCAGAGGCATATTTGAGAAAGTAGCAAATGCCATCAGTCGATGGGTGTATAGCCTGAGAAGTTGGCGGTTTAGAGGGTGAGTGCAGATTAACTTGTGAGTGTTGTACTGTTTTGGCGGCGGAGCGGCGAGGAGATTGGGAACAAGTTAACTCGTAAGAAACTACCCCCGAGCATAAACTGTTCACAGTCCCCTATTTTTCGTAAAATCGACAGGATCAAGAGCTTACCTGTACAGGGTGTCCCAACAGTACGTTCCTCTAATTTCATGCTCTATAACTTTTGATCAAAACTTTATTTTTACATGAAATTTCTAGAAGACGTTTATTTTCTCTTGCTTTTTGATTTTTGATCCCATTCTCTACCCATTGCGGCATGAAGTGGGATACAGTATGTAGAGCCACAGATGATCCATTTGAGCGTTTTTATCACCTGGTGCGCAGGAGCCAGTCTAGCCCCAAACAATATTTGTTTATTTCACGCACCTAAAAAAAATATACATTGGGCATTTATCCGAAGAAGATAATCATCTCGACCTCCTTCCACAGCAAGGCTTTTGTACTTCTTCACAAATTTGAGACCAGCTGGGCGTTACTTGGCAGACTAAGCAGAGGGGTTTTTTTTGCCATGGGTTTTTTTTTTGTCAGGGGCCTCTAATTTCAAACATTTTAAACAGCTTTTCATGACCCTTTCTGGACTTGGCTCTCTACCTATGTGAGAGCTTCCTCGTTGAGTCTCCTACTTTGTATCTAGCCTTCTTTAAAACTATTTTAGCTGCTTTCTTCAGGACTTTTGGTCTTCCCCTTCGTTTCTTGCCTTCAAAACCTTTATTTCTCCACGATCATTTTACCACCCTACATTCGGATTTTTCCAGGTTTTTAGCACTTTCTACAACGGATAAGCCAGTAAATCGAAGTATACATGCTTATGCTCTCACCCAGCTGAACTTTCTTTGCGTTAAGGGGGTTTATCTTTCGTGATATTCACAAAATACAAGGAAGGAGTTCGAGCAATTCGGGCTATAAAATACAAAAAATACGAGGCTGGAAAATATACTCCCGCACAGGCACCTTTGGGGTGGGAGTACACAAAATCGAATATTCGAGTCAAAAGGTGATACAACAAGTATGAAAATAGTGAATTAGATTGAAAGACGCAACTTTTGTTTCAATGAATTGCTTAACAAGTTCAATCGTACTGAAATACAGACTTATAAAGTAGAGGAACAAACTTTGGGACACGCTGTATCGGAAGCCATGTTTCTCATGTACCGAGGGGGCGAGCATCGGGGTTTAACCGTCCTCATTAAGTAAATTTGACACTCATCCAAGATGGCCGCCCGTAACGCGCTCGATCTCGACGATCTTACGGGAAAATGGGGGACTGTGATTAAACTACCCCACGCATAACAATCCCGCTAGCTATGCACGCCAGGAGAGAACAGGGCTGAAAAAAGCGTCCTCTTCAACTCTGACCATAACTTGAGTGGATGATAGTACTCGCGTGCAACCAAAAACGCCCGATGCAGGTTGGTGATGTATATCTCACCATATGGAACTTCTTTTTACAAAATGAAAGGAGCCAGTTTTACAGCATTGTCCGTTGTCCCGAATCCTGAACATTTTTTAAACGGTGCTAAGTGGTGAAGTGACGGAGTTCGAGTCGACGGAAAATAAGGAATCAGACAAGGCAGGGTGTGTTCGTAGGAAATGCATTCAATCTAGCCTGTGCGCAAAATAATCTTTATATTTTCGTCTTTTGCTGAAAAGGCAGAAAACGCAAAACCAAAACAGCAACAAAACAAGCCAAGTTTGTGAACAGGCTAGTTATAGTCGTCAACTTCACAACTGATTGCTTCCTCGTAGCTTTTCAAAATATTGTAATAAATGCTTAATTTGCTTGTTGAAGCAGATTCTGAAACGAAATAATTTCCTTCAGAATCTCATTCACCAAGCTAATGTAGCTCAGTGTTATAATCGTCAACTTCACAACTGATTGCTTCCTCGTAGCTTTCCAAAACATTGTGATAAATGCTAAATTTTCTTGGCAAATCAAAAGCTGAATTAAAATAATTTTCCTAATTCAGAATTTGATTCATCAAGCAAATGCAGGTCAGTGACTTCAATGACTCTTTTTATAGTAATGAAGGCTTTTATCTATAACCTCATTGCTAACATTTCCAAATGCTGGGAATTCAAGTTCTTTCTGCGCTACTTAATTTCCTAATTCTAATTCTGTCTCCTCCTCAGGCGCTTCGAATTTCGCTCGGAGGCGAGTGGGAAACGCAAGTGACTGGTGACGAACTGAATCGGCAAGGGACCATGGGAAGGAGAAGGAAGAGAGGCGACTCCTTCCCACCTTCCCTTGCGCCCAAATTTTCATCGAGAGGGAGAGATAGACGTCTGGGTACGAGGCAGATTCCCGGCACTGTTGCTTAATAGGGACCTTACGATCCGACAACGGCGACGTCCATGAAAACTTCGTTGAAATGTAGACTCCGCATCCTTTCAAACCATTTCGCGATTATCCCAAGTCGCCCAGTTAATTAAAAGAAGAGAATTTAGGTTGGAAATGAGGAGAGGGGACCGCGCCCGAGTTCAGACAGAGATGGTAGAATTTATCGCCTTGCCTTTCCCGTCCTCAAAAAACCTTTTAAAAATTTGATGATTTCACGTCGTAATCGTGCAGGAACGGCAAAGAAATGTACAAAAAAGCGTGAAGCACGTGCAGAGCTGTTGTTTTGCTAATTAAACCTACTGCTTTTTGGTGTTGACGTTGCCCTCGCCGTCGTAGTTTCGTAAGGCCCCTAATAGGGAGCTAAAGCAACGACGACGGGTGACAGCAGCCAGAACGTCGAAAAAGCAATTGGTTTACTGAGATCAGCAAAACAGCATCCTTGCACTTGCATCACGCTTTTTAGCACATTTCTTTGCCATCACTACAAGACAACAACGTGAAAATGCATAATTTCACGTTTTCTGGAGGACGTGAACACAAGCCAACGACTTTCTATTTCTTTTCCTGAACTTTCAGACAGTCTTTCTGAATTCAACTCTAGAAAAATTTGCCAACATTTGATGAACTGAGCGAGATGGAATTAGCCTCCCACACAGACGTTCTTAGGGGTTCGTCACGCCTTCCTGCCCGCATGCAGATTATCGGAGATCAAATCGGCGCTGTTGAAGTCAAAGTGTTGACAAGCCAAACACATACGTACAAGCTCTGTAGAGTGTGATAGGTGACCAAAGATTTTTGCTCCTGGCGAGAATATAGGAGATAAGCGTTGGTTTTTTGTATATTTCTCTGTGTAAAGGCTGGATTAGATGTCATTTAGTCATAAAGTTGTTCTTTGGGTGATGGAACGGTGGGGTTACCTTGTAAGAATGAACAAAAGGCAGAATTTTTTTTCACACATTATAGTTTTGTAGGAAAGCCGACTTCCGTTCAGCAAATTTAACCTCCGACGTAATTTTTTTCAACGAGATTCTGAGGGTAGCCACTAGAACGAACGCTTGAGAGTTAACTGAGTAGTTGGTACTAAAACTGTAAGGTCTTCACCTTTCATGCGACCTTTCTGATCTTTTCTGGTGCTATATAGTCAAGCGCGAAATTTCTCAAGGTCCAAGTGCACTTCCCAGATCTGGAAGTCTGCTGTGATTGGTCTACGTTTTTTTCCGCTCAAGTCAGCAGACGTTCGTGGGGCAGGAACGCGTGACGAACCCCTAAGAACGTCTGCGTGGGAGGCTTAGATGGAATAAGAGCCAAGAATTTTGAAGCAGGGCGAATTTACTTTTTAAGTGAAGTTTTCGTGGCCGTCGCCGTCGTTGTTACCTTAAAAGGTCCCCAATGTTAAAGGAAATCCGTGGACACGTTACCTGACAAATGAGCTTTGACTGATGATGAATCACTGGCTTTGTCATCTACGCTGTAGACCACAGAACCATCGTCATCTTTCTTCTCTGCCTCATCCATCCCGACGGCTTTTTCCTCCAAACTTCCTTTCCCTCCTTCCACGTCTTCCTTCTTCACATCTTTCTCGGCTCCTTCCTCCGCCTGCTCTCCATTTACAAGCCCAGGAACTCTGTTTAGGAAGTAGCTGGACAGTAGGTAGATGTCGTCCTCTGTGTCTACACCCATGGCCTTCATAAGACAGGAAGGATCACTATAAGATTCTGGAAAACTACATACCCATCCATCTCCCAACCCAAAATTTTTCCCCAACTGATCAGTTATTGACAATATTGAGTCAAGTCAGGAGCCCAAATGTATGGTTAGGGGCTCCTGGTAAAATTTAGCTTGCGTGGCTGGCAGTTTTATTTGGCGAGCGTGCAAATGAGTGAACCCGCGAGAAATAAAACAAGAGGAGTCTGCAAAAAAAAATGAAAACCGTCCTTTCCGCTTCTCACGGCTTCGCCACTCGCAATAACAATATATAAAAGAACAATATATATATATAAAAACATGCAAAACAGTATTAAAAAATGAAGGCTACGACACAGTGTACTACCATGGCATTCAACTTTGACACAACATGTTGAGCGCATAACACCACAATGAATGAGAAATTGCCTATAGGGGGTGTGTGAGTGGGTCGTGGGTCTGGCAGAAGAATCTAAAATTCCAGACACCGCAACAACTTTCTTACCGCAAAGATGGCGTCAAGCTTCATTAGCGACTGCTCATCTCTTTCAAGAGGTGCAAGAAGTTTGGTTAGTTTGGACTCCACAAGAAATCCCTGAAAAAAGAATGACAGTATTAAACAGTATTTTAAGCCCGCATACTTATGTTCTTCGCGTTTTACTGCGCAGTCCCTTCCTATTTTTCGGTGGAATGACCTTTAAAATTTTGCATCCGAAAGCTGCTAAGCGGTACTTTTCGGGGGTAGGGGAGGGGTGGCGTGCGAAGGTACTTCCGAAGAAGATTTTTCAGGAACATGCTCCTGATAATTATCCGTGCACGGAAAACTAGCGTCTTTAAACGTCACCCTGTGTAAGGCAATCCGCATTGCGGAATCCAGAAAATGTTTGATTCCAGGGCGTGCAACTCAGAATCCAAGACTGTCTTGGATCTTTTACATGGGTTTGATTAACGAGAAGTCTTGTTTTTAACATGGGGTTAGGACATGCTAAAACAATTCAAAGAAACCCCCTCACACGATCGTAAATACCCTATTTCATGACTGAACAGCTCAAAAGAACATACCCGATTGAACGGCGCGTAACTACGTCACTTCATTTTAAGACGGACACGCATAATAGAAAATCAAAGAAATGGCTGAAAAAAGGCAGGGGCCGAGTCCATGTGTCCGTTTAAGGGTTGTGTTTGCCTTACAGAGAATCGAAGGAAATGACCGAAAAACGCGAGGGACCATTTCTAGGTGACCGTTTTAGGTTTTTGTCTGCCTTGTTGCAAGTCAAATAAAATGACTGAAAAACGGCAGGGACCAACTCCAGGTGTCCGTTTCAGGGAGGAATGAGGGAATGACAACGGTTTCAGAAAACGTTGCTCCTAAAACGTTCCCAGCGAGGGCGGGGCCATGTCTCTCACCCCACTTGTGGATTCTGTGCGTATATACTCACTGCCTCATCGCAGATCAGCTCCAGTATAGCCTTGATCGTTTTGGATGACAACTTTTTTCCCTGACCGATCTGCCCATCTTGTTGAAATTCTCTAACGCCTGAGCCTTGTTCTACATCATCCTCTCCTTCATCTGTCCCAGCTATAGCACAAACAAGTCAAGTGGAAAAGTAAAATTAGAGTGTCAAACCATTTTACATCATACCTCACTCTAGTTAACACAAAGACGGCTGTGTACAACGATGATGATGATGATGATGTTGTTGACATCTATTGATAAAACTGATTGCTTGAACCTATCAGTCCTACCAAGCGGCAAAACGTATACTAATCATGACCCCTGTCTCTTAGTTTCCGCGAACGCTTCATGGGGAGAAGATCATTTAAACAGTGATTGTCAGTGGTCACCTTGTTCCAAAATTCCAAATCTATTTCTCGCATCAAATCAGTTATAGGAGTGAACTTAGCAGTATAGCCATATTCGACTGCACGCTTACAAAACCTATCTCAAGTATCTGAGAAAGGTATTTACTATTTTGTCTATTTTAGTCCAAATATTGTCCATCCCAAATAAAACGTACGAAATTAAACGTGCCGGAATTTTTGAGAGTTTAATGTGAGAGTAAAATAGACCTGTAATATCAATACTAACGTGGCCTGAGTTTCCGACTGCAAGTAAATGTTGAAAAAACAATTTTAAAAGAAGAAGTAAAGGGTCACCTACGCGATCTTGGGGGTGGCAATGAAAATCAACGTGTATTAAAAGTTTCGTTACCTAAAAAGAAGCAAAAACCGAAAATGGTCCTACAGAGTCGGTGATGAAATGTAAAATTCCTGGAAATCTAGGATTTCAAAATCCGAGAATTCTACTACCAAATCGAACAAACCATGCAGCCTTTCATTCGCTTCTTCAACGGCTAGTTTCGTCAATGCTATCAAAAGTCAAAATTTAAGTGGCGAAAGGTAAAATAGCGCGATAAAAGACACATGGAAGTATAAAAGCAAATACTGTTGGAATGCTGCACAAAAGGTCAAGAAGAGCTGGTATCACTAGCAAAACATTAAACTAAAGATCATGATCTAACCTCCAGACATGATCTCATGCGCCATCTGAGTAGCTGACATTTGTTTCCTTTTGGGTCCAGCAGTTGACTCCACTGGCCTGTTCATAAAATCTCTGTAAAAGAAGCACTACGTCACTGAGAAAAGCAGCATTATCAAAGCGGACACTAAGCAGTCGTAGCGAGGTGGAAGCAACTCAAAAGTTGACAGTACCAGTGGGTTGATCCTGGTAAAATTGGCCGCGTTATATTGCTTAGCACTTGCTCAAGCCATTTGGTTGAAAATCTTGCACAAACATTCAAAGATTAAGTTTGACTTTCTTGCAGAAGGAGCCACTGTGAAGTTTAACCAAATTATTTGACTAAAAAGAGTAGAAAGAAAAACATCACCTCCAATGACAGCCAATATTTCCTGAAATTTCCAGGCAAAACTACGCGAACTAATTGAGTTTTCAGTTCCCTCCCCTGTGGGGAGGGGACTGAAGCAATACGACTCCCCTAAAAATGCCTGCGTGGGAGTCTACATTCGTTTAAACTGTTCGGAGCTCATCTACCAACATTCCTACGATTTTGCAGAAGTTGAGTTTTCCACATTTTATTAGCAAAATATTGCGATTTTTCTTTGCATTTGCTTTCGGTATGGAGACAAAACTTCCCTTAGAATTTTATAAAAGCACGGCGACTCCATGTCCTCGGACTTCGATTGGACCCATCAGGGTAGCTAACAGTTTCGAATGAGAAGTAAAAGCCACCTACACCTTCCAAGACGACCAAATTTCCCCTAAGACACCCAAACAGATAAAAAGCTGGCCTTAACTTACAAGTCACGGAACTTAAATAGGTGATTTTGCTGCAATCGATGACATCGATGGAATGTAGTGAAAATGAGACACAGGCCATTGGATAGTACTTACAGATCCGGGGCTTCCCACGGCAACCCCAGCTGTTGCTCATGTATAATTCTATCCTCCTCTAAAACACTGTGTACCAGTTCCCTAACTTGCTCCTCATTCATCGCCCAGATGTCGTGGAACTTCTTTTGATCTGTCGTTTGGAAATGTCTGAAAAGGGAGGGCAAATAAGGTAATACTGTCCTTTATTCCAAAAATACGGAAAAAGTATTGCTCATAGAAACCCAGAATGATAAACGTTAGCGAAGAATATTTTTCTCACCTCGACTTTTTCTGAAGTTCTCTAAACTGCTCCGTAATTCTCTTGTAATCATCTGTCAGAGCTTGGTTGTCTTCCCTATCAAAAAGCCAATGGACAGACCCTTAGCCTCCTTAAACCAAAGTTTAAATTATACTTTCCCAAAAACCACTGACAAGTTGTTTAACGGTTTTACCTATATTGCTTTTCTTGCTTGGCTAATTTCTGTTTTAAGTTATTAAGCACATCCTGGAGCCTGTAAGAAAAACCACAAAATTTATTACAACAATTGATGATTTGATGGAAGATCGTCGAATGACTTTAACTATCAGATACAGAGTGCACAGAGGGTCGGGACAGAGTGTAATATTCTAATATTATTAAAGAATGCAGACCTAGTGATCTTCCGCTTCTGCTGTGACTTTGTGATCGTGTTTTCTTCATCTCGTTTCTTCAGGACCTAAAACAAGTCAAATAAATTTTTTAAAAATGACTGTGAGTGAGCCTTTGTGCATGGCAAATTGTAGCTTGCTACAGGCGTTCAGATAGTAGAGCGCGGCGGTCAGATGATGGGGACCGATTTAAATCGTAAACGGTGAGAAAAAGCGAGGGGAGAATGGGGCGAGAGTGAGGGAACGCCTGTAAACATTCTTAACAAGGATCGTTCCGATATACTGGATTCCAGTATACCCTCTTATTGTTCGATTATGACACTTTCTGTTAACACTCGAGCACCCTCCTCTTTTCCTAATCTCCCTTCAATTTTTTTCTTCGTGAATTTTTTTCGCGCGCTCTATTATCTGAACGCCTGGAACAAGCTCTGTAAATTTCAAAGATGTTAACAGTGTGTGTCTCCAATTCACAGCTGAATTCAGGCCTGGTACAGCCACTTAAGACGAAGATTTCCTCAAATTTTGATTATACTGTAAGAAGATTAACATTCTCGAGAGTTTGCTTCCCAAAAAACTAGCAGACTTTCCAGTACGGTAGTCTGTGGTCGCCTTAGCAGCCGTTTGTGGTGTTGTTGCATGACAACCCAAAAAATGACTACATAGGAGAGTTGTGATAGACAGTCTAAGACTTGAAGATTTTCTTACCGGGCATTGTTACCTTTTAGAGCTCACTTGCCCAAGATGGGCAAGGCTCCAACTAAATCATTAACCCTTTAAGTCCCAATATCAACGTACAAATTCTCCAAACTAATCTCCATACATTTCCTTTAAGAATCAGTTGAGAGAATTTAATAAAAGATCATTTGAAGCATTTTCTTTTTGGTGATCATTTGTTAATTCTCATAACCTTTTCTCTTGACAATGTATCGATATTGTTAGGAGGAAGTTGATGTTTGTGGTTTGGACTTAAAGGGTTCACTAAAACAAGCAAGCAAATTGGTCCTGGACAAGCCTTAATTCATTTTTTGTTATTGAGCTCTGCTATTTTAAAATGTGACATGATTGTAGGCTAGCAGCAAGCTAAGTCAGGTATCAACTACCGGTAAGTCAGTTAGTAGTTGGAAAAGAATGCAAGATGTGAGTGACATATAATGCCAGAGAAGGAACTCCTTTGGTGGACTAGCAAATACCACTTTTTGAAAGCAGTACATGTGTCAGTAGACTTTGCACTTGCAGATCAGAATTGGAAGGCAGAATGACAACTAACATTATTTAACCAAAGTAAATTGGATCACAGTCTTTGAGCCAATAAACAGGATTTTCATTAACATCAGAACAGCTTATAATGAGAAGCAGGTTTTATATAATTTGACTGACCTGAAAGTTGTATTCAAGTTTTTCTTGGTTCAGCTGGTATGTGGCTTTCATCTGCTGAAGCTGCTGCTCCAAAATCTAAACACCATAAAGGAAAATAAAACTCACCCTCACATGAGTAGCCTAACTTTATTCAACAAAACTGTTTTTTTGTTGAACTACCTGACTAAGGTGTCACTAACTAACCCAGGCTTTAAATTCACCATAATATTGCTATCATTGTGCATATAAAGCACATACAGCTATTCCATTCCTAGCAGTATGCAGGATGTTTGTCACATAAACCTACAATCGCAGACAAAATTGTTTAGACATTGTACTCAAATAGGGTAACTCAAGAGAACAAAGGAATCCACACCCCTCCCCTGTCCCCTCCATTCAAAGTTGCAGGTGTTTGTTGTTTTCTAAAGGCACAACATTGCATGGAGGGAATGGGGGAGGAAAAGCTATATTTTTCCCTTTTGAAATCAGGAAAACATTTAAAAAGCCCCTTTAGAATAAAGTGTCTCAACTCATTTTGTTGGCGATTGTAGCTTATTGGCCTTAGCTTTCAGAGTCTCCTGTAGCTTAGTGGTAGAGTATCTGGACTAGTAACCAGAGGGTCATAGGTTCAAATCCTGGCCCCCTTCCTCCCTTACCCAGATTTGTTTCTTTCAAGCTGCCTATGTCACTGACTGCAGAAACATCTTTCTATAATATGGATCTTGAAAGGAGTACCCAGATAATACTTAAATGGAAAGGACAGTACTGAATGGACAGTAAGGTTGAGCTTTAATGAAACTGTATCAAAACCTCCCCAAAATTAAAACTATGGGATACAGGTTACCCAGCACTTCTATTTTGTGCAAAAAAGTAACCATTCAATTTGATGGAACACAGGAAACCTACCTGTACGTCCGTCTCCAATTTGATCTTCACCATGTTGTACTCCTCAGCATCTTGAACCCTTAAAGTCTGCAACTGATTTTCATGATCTTCAACTCTTTTACGGCGTGACTCCATATATTCTACCTACAATATTATACAAAGCAACAAACAGGTCAGCAGCTGGTTGCAAACTTCTTACACTGGTGTGTCTTGGATTTTGATGAAATTTTTCAAAAGAATACCTGGCCTGTGGAACGTGAATTTCATGACTATAACAAGATTTCCTGTGATGGTGAAAACTGCTTTCTTTGTTTAAAAGCAATGGTTCTAAAGCTATGGATAAGATTTGTGCCTTTGGCTTCACCTCTTGAAATAAAATTAATGTAGTATGACGTGACATAAAATAATCGCTACAGTGAAAGGAAAATAATATGACAATAAAATTATTGATACACTCAAACTCGCAATTTTAACTGCTAAAAAAGTGGTGAATCAATAGTACACAGAAATTGTTTTGCAGCTCAGGGGTCACAGATGTTACTTTTTGGGTGAAGAAAAATGAAGTATATATGTAATAAAGTGTTGCTGAGGGAAAAAAAAATGAAGACTGGAAATACGTCTGCATTCTTGGGTAAACCTCTTCCTTGCAATCCAGCCCCTATCATTTTTTACCATTAATACAGTGTGACAGGTGCAGCCCAGATGACTGTATGAAGGCTCATGGCCAGGTTGGAGTGATTGCCAACCAGCACGAAAATGATACATGTAGGAAATGTATAAGAACTCTCAACCATTACCTCTTTGTCGCATCTCTGCAGCATGGAAGTATCCCATTTCTTTCTGTTGTTATCAATCAATTCAGCCCTCTCAGTAACAAATGCTTTCTGCAATTTAAAATGCCTTCTTTGAATAAAACCATTTCCAACAACATTTTTAACTTTGTTTCTCCCAAGCCATAACAATTCTGTTCATGACAGCAGTCAGTTACAATGAGACTACAGCTAATTATAATGTAGGTATGCAGTAGCCTAAGAAAAATTATTCTTTTATTAACCCTTTTTAAGAGTATAACATGCTCAGTATTTTCTTTTTCATTTGAAGCCTACTGTTTTTTATACCTTTTTTTTCTTATTCCTAGGTTTAAATTTTTCTCACTGATGGTATCTTGACAGTCAAATCTGTTAAAAACAAACCTCGGTCTGTGTTAGTTCTTCCCTATAAGCTTTTGTTAGCTGTTTCATCTGTTCCTCCATCCTCTCTACCATGAGGTCGACATCTTCAGCCTGATTAACAAGCACAAAATTAATAAATGAACACTGCAATAATTAAATGAAAAAGTAGCCACCCCTACAGTGATCTATACATTGATCAAGAAATTGCAGTTGAGCCTATAAAAGAAAATTTTTTTGACATGGACAAGTTAAATTACCCAAAATCAATCAATACAGCGCTAGCAAGGGCACTTTTATCAATAGATGTGCTAAGTTTCAAAGTGGCAAGCTGAAAGCTAATGGAGATACATGTATCATTCTGCAAAGTGCTGAACACTAGGTGCAGATGTTTGTAATGCTTTGAAGGAAGGTGCTGTACATGGTAATGCAATAGAAAGTCAGGTACATGATAGCCTTGGATATGAAATCAAATAACATGGTTCGTACAACTTCAGACATACTAATTTCAAGGACTTTTCAAGGATTTTTCAAGGACAAATTACAGTTTTCAAGGACAAAGATTTATTCAAAAAATTGGCATTCTTTATCCCCCTTTTGAACACCTTATTGGCTAAAAAACATCATGGAGTCATTTATGATTTTAACTTCTTCAGCCACAGTGGTTGATCACATTATTTAGTACTACTTTCTGCAAGAACACTTTGCAAAATGACCAGGTATGACTTGCAATTACATCTGAGGTACAGAAATAGCATTTGAAACAGAGAATAAACAAGGCAACAACAACAGCAACAACAGTAAAGAAACAGAAATAAAATATTGTTCAAGCACAAATATGTTTTATACATGTAGGTTCTATACATGTAGGCTCTTACACCAAGGATGAGCCAGATTTTCCTCAGTGAAATAATCTAATTTTACAGAAAACGGATGTCTGGCATAGACAAGGTAGTGAATTTCAAGGACTTTTCAAGACCTAATAAAGAAATCAAGTACTTTTCAAGGACCTTAACCGAATTCAAGGACTTTTCAAGACAACTACCACAATTCAAGACACTTTCAAGATTGTACGAACCATGAATAAAGAAATGACCCCCGTTGTGATAATAGTTTGGGAGAAAGAAAAATCACTGAAAACACTTCTTGCGGCTTGAACAGTCTTTGCCTTGCCAATCAGCTTTTCTGTGGTTCAGCATTTTTTCCAGGCCCACATTGTATATATCGAAAAGAAATTTCTTCGCTTGTGTATATCACTGCAAGGATCAAGGATCATTTCTTAAACTTATTCCAAATCTTTACATCATGGGCGATTCACCATACATTTATTCCCAGTAAGATAAATTATATGTACTTACAGTGCTCTTAGAGAAACAAACAAGGAAACCACAATTTTTTTTCTGGGTGTTTTAAAGAATAAAACTTACAGCCTTCTTTAAGTCTTTAACATACTGGTCATCTTTGGACTTGAGTTCCTAGAAAAAATGAATAACAATATAAGAGAATTTTTTACATTGAGGATATATGTTGTAGTTATTTTTTTATCTCAGGTAATTTTTGTTTTTCTTTTGTTTTTGAGTATGGTAATGTATGCTAATGAAGTTCAAACAAAAGAAAAATAAAAATTACCTGAGATAAAAAATTAACTACAACATATATATTTAAGTCTTGGGTTGGGAGTGGGGCACAAACTTAGCTCGTATTATTACAGTGCCAGATCCAGACCTTGAGATAAGGAGGGGGGCGGTCATCCAGACCCTTAGATGAGGGTGTGGGGGCTGATCTCCCAAAAAAAATTTTTGGCCCTTTGGGCCTCAGTTTGGTCTAAAATGGGGAGGGGGGGAGGGGGGGGCTGGGCCCCTCCCTGAATCCGCCACTTTATTAGATAGTGATATGCTGTTGGAATGTTGGAAGGGATGCATTTTTGCCCTTGCTTCCCTAAACAGAGTATCTAACAAAGAAGAAGTGGAACTGTGTAGTATTTTTTTCAAGGCTCCATTTTTGATCAGTGACATTTCTTCATGAATCAAGTCTCAATAACGTTTTTTATAGTCTACAGGCTGTAACCAACTTTATCAACAATATTATCATTTAAATGAATAACTAATACATTAGAAACAAGCTCACAAACCTGCTGAAAATCATGGATGAGCTTGTTCTTTTCATCTATCATGCTATCACATGCACTTTTTTGTTCCATCAACATCTACAAGGTACACAACAATATGAATAAGTGCACCAATCAAAAAACACCATTCTACACTCTTAGCCCTTTCAATGATCAAATCAAGATACTGCAATTCTGCTGTTGCTAAATTCATTGTGATTGATACTCACTCCATTTAAGTCCTGTGGTATTTCTTTAGAAAGAGCATATTCCCATTTTTTGGTAACCTGGTGACAGGAGATGACGTAAAACAGTCAGCAGGGCAATACACAGCATACAATCACCACATTTTTGGAAGCTTACAACTAATACATAAAAATTCTAACAAATCAGTGTTAAATCAATAGATATTCATTTTTAAGTGATAATTATTCAGCACGTAAAGACTAATAATGAGCTACATGTATAAGTGCACCTTCATAATGTGTTCATAATGCCAAGGGTGGAAAAATTTAGAAGAGACCAAAGAGGTGAAAGTGGCAAGTGCCACCTTGTGTTTAGAAATCCTCAGGAAACTACTTTAGAAAAACAAAAAAATGAAATGTAACAAGACTAAAAAGACTAAAACAAAATAAATAAGTGCAATATACTTGAAACAAAACAAGAACTAACCTCCTCAAATTTTTCTGTAGCAGATTTTGCCTCTGCTTCTAGTTTCTCATTCCTTAAAAATAAGGAAAAAAATAATACAACAAAAAAATCATTACAATATTACTTCTATCATCAAACTCCTGACCTAAACAAATATATAAAGTCTAATAGGGTTGCAAGTTAAGTAGTAAAAACAGTTATACCACAGGGGTCAATTCTAAATAATTTTTTGTGAAACAATTGAGTAACCTTTGTCTCCGTTGTTCTTCCTCTTCTAATCTCCTCATGGATTCCCTTGCATCAGCTGCAACATGTACATTGGTCACCAATTCTGTGCCATCAGATTTAAGCTTGACCAAACGCTACAACCAGGAAGTCATAAAGCCATTATGTAACTAATATGTACCTGTATAACCCAACTTCTTTGAATACTCACTGATACTGTAAGAAGTTTTAGCACTTTTGCTTGAATTTGCATTTCACCCATGTTAACGCAGATATAAGAAACACAAGTGCCAACACCCACCAGTGCCATCAGTTTGGGCTTTATTTGCAGACTGATTAAAGCCATAAGATAAGTGTTTTCAAGGAATACACTCTTGTCTGTCCCCTGTGGAAATTCCAGATCTAATCCCTCATGCCTTCGAATTCCAATCCTAAGTATCTCACCACACCTTCGAATTTCCAGTTCAACCCCCCTCCCCCACCCCCCGACACTGCCCTTGGAATTACAAAAAGCCATCCCTGGTATGGTAAGGATAGTTCTTGGAATCACCCATTTTGCTGTAGTAATTCACACATTTTTAAGCTTTATTTTCTTTTTTGCTATTGCTTCATTGGTACGAAACAGCTCAAATCCATATCACTCCTTCAAATCAAGTACAATCAAATAATATTGACTGCACCTGAGTTGGAGAAGTGATACAGAGCTGTCACTGAGATTTCTAGTTGCTCGATATATGCAATTATTTAATAGTCAGGCAGGATCAAAAATCAAACAGCCGCAATGAAAGTTCTTATTGTTCTGTTTTCCTCTTGTTTCCTTTGAAAGGTTGCTGGGGAAATAAATGGCCCCAACCTTCAGTGACAGCTCTGACAACAGTTACACTTAAAACCACCTGCTTATAAGTCTTTATTAATTGTTGCTTTGAAAGGTTTAAAAAAATTTTGTCACAATGCTGTTGAGGGTCTCACATTGTGATGGAGTAAATCCTCAGCTGTAGGAGAGAGAAATAAAAACTACACTAAAATCAAATCACCATTAGATGTTATAACAAAAAGCATTTTCCAAAGAATAAGTCATCACATTCTTTAACATACTCTCACGAATTACTCAGTAGCCCGAGTATCAGGTCTCCCTTAGGGCTTAGGGGAAAGGAGATTTTAGATGGGGAGCGGGGGAGGGGGGGGAAGAGGGGAGAAAGAGGAGAGGTTTCTCTCTCTTGGCTGTTCACTTCACTCTTACTCCTTTTCCTCCAGAAATGCCTGGTACTTAAAAAAATCACTCAGGCCTGGTTCAGAGGCTGTACTTTATACATGCCGAACCTAACTGAAAAAGTTTGACATGGAGTGACACTGATGTGACAACTGATTCAGATGGCACACCGTGTGTCGCACCTAAGTTTGACAAACGTTCAAGAGACTCTGTCAAACTGAATGCTTTTCTCACACTAAACTAAAACTGCTGTACCTAATTGATTCAGACGCCACTCTGTTGCTGTACTTAATTCATCAGTTACGTGTAGGTTCTGTACATAAGTGGAGCGACGTCTGAACCAGGCCTCAGTGACATGTTTATGTTCGTCAGTATGAGGATTTCCTTGTCTTTTGAGTCATTTTAACGATTACAAATAAATACACTATTCTTGTCAGTCACCTGCCGGCTATCTTCCATTTGTTTTCGACTTTTGAGTGCATCTTTTTCCGAGTCCACGGGCTTCTTTTTTGCGGCATCTTCCCCACTAGCTTCTCTAGACGTTACAATTACATTAAAAAACTTAACAATAGTACAGAACACAAATAAAATACAAGTTTTAAAAGACAGAAATAAGATTAACTCAACCAACCTTTTCGCAGCTTCCAATCGTCTCTGTATTCGTATTCTTCGGGCTGCTATCCGTTCCTCGGCAATTGCAGAGTCTACAGATGGGCCTTCGTCCTCCTCTTCTTCATGCGGGTTCATGTTTTTAATTATAAAGAAAAACTAACAAATTTTGTCCAAGCTCCAACTTACTGTTATTTATGCAGCGTTGCTACCTTGGTAACCTGGTGATCTAAAACTAGTGTCCAGTCTTTTTCATAACACATGACCCTGGGTTCCCGGGTTCCAGTGCCACTAAGTCGAAAAAACATGGCGCCCAAATTGGACTTCGAAGTTATGAATTTTTATTCCTGTTTCGTTCTACTATTACCATTTTTCGGTTGATTACCGATTTTATCCTAGAAGGTGTTTCAGTTATTCGCAGCTGTATAACTGCAGAGCATCAATGGAACTAAATCTATGGAATAGTATTATAAAGCTTATTTGGTCTTATTTCCCGTCAAGTCTACAAAGCTAATTTACAAATATTAGCATTTTAAAAGCTTATCATTCAAGCACTTAACCTTATTGTTCCTGATGTCTGAAGGGGATCAAGCAATGCCTAAAACTAAGCAATCTCTTCAACACACTGGATTCAAAACAATTGAAACCATTGGACGTCTTGTTTTACATGTGGTCCTTCGATTTTGGAGATTTTGTAGTGCGGCAATGTTGACGTTGCTTCTTCTCTACTGGCTTTATGGAGGAGTCGTTAGCTTCTTGTTATTAACTGCAGCCGTATTTGGCGCTTTGTATCATTATCAAGACACCCTTCTCTACTTCCCAGAACAGCCTGTTACATCAAGAGTCTATGTTCAAAATCCAGCAATTCTGGGCTTTCCATTTGAGAATTTGTACCTCAAGACACAAGATGGCCTGAAAATTAATGCTGTGTTTCTCAAACATTCTCCTCAGTTTCAGAGCTCTGTTCCTACTGTGTTGTTTTTCCATGGCAATGCTGGGAACATTGGTCATAGATTAGCAAATGCCAGAAGTTGGTATAGTTACTGTGGTTGTAATGTTTTTCTGGTGGAGTACAGAGGTTATGGAAAGAGCGAGGGCTCCCCTAGTGAACAAGGTAAAAGCGTTCAAGACCCAACCACAAAATAACCTTTGTTTTGCCCACAGTTTACTAAATGATTAATTAAAAGAAATCAACAAATCAGCAGATGGTTAATGGGTAACAGGTCTTTTCACCCAAAAGTTGATTCGCTGATGGCAGTTCACCCGTACCGGCATCGATTCACCCTAAGTTTATTTATCATTCCTTAACCTTGAAGATAGGTGTAAGCATGAAAAGACAATGGCTGCGGGCGGGGCGGGGGGGGGTATGGGTGATTTGGTTTGTGGAGGAATTTTTTTCCTGACATACATCGGTGTAGGATTTTTTTTTATCTAGCATTATATGTCATGAAAGATTTTTTTTCCGTTGTAGGAATTTTTCTTTTGCCAGGTATTCCCTTGCAAGAATTTTTTTTCCTCTTGAAATCAGTCTCCAGGATATTTTTTTCTCAAATCACCCATACCCTCCCCCCCTTCAAAATTCAAATGGTCGCCCCCTCATTAGATCGTTCTCAGCAATGGAATCCAAGCTTAACTTAAAAATATCTTTGATATTGAGTTTTGCTGTGTTGTGAGGGTGTTAAACATTGACTTTGGGACAGTAGGTGTTTTAACATGATCAATATTGTTGAATAGGTAATTGAGATAAAAATGCTAATTTTTGTACCCAGTGTACTTCTGAGTGGAAAACCCAACACACTGTAAATCTCTTTGCCATTACTGATCAATTTACCATTGATCCATATATGATAAATTTCAGGGCTTCATTCTTAAATAATATATATTGTCGATTTATTGAAGGTTTTGAGCTTGACTCAGAAGCTGCATTTTCATATCTGATGTCACGCACTGACATAGACACAAACAAGGTTGTTGTATTTGGACGATCTTTGGGTGGAGCAGTGGCAATTTCTCTTGCATCAAATGAACTTTATCTCGACAAAGCATTTGCTCTAATCGTAGAGAACACCTTCACTAGCATCCCTAGCATGGCTAATCAACTTGTCATGAATGGAATTAGCAAGCTACCTTACTTCTGCTTCAGAAATAAGGTAAACCTTGGTTACATGTAATAATTATTCTATTGATAGTTTATAGAATGAGATAGTTTTTTAGTCTGGTTAACTTCTGTTCAACACTTTGTTTTAGCCATGATTGTGCACAAAAACTAATAGCACCCAAGCCATATTTAGTTGAGCCCTTGATGTGTGACTAGCTGACTATACTGTCTATACTGGTATACCCCACCAGGCATTGCTAAGTTTTTCTGTGCCACCAGCAAGGTGTCTGGATATCTGATGAAACACTGGGTTGAGACACTGTTTAGGATGTTTAAGATACTGTCTAACAATTCTACAGTCTGTTTTGTAAACTTTAGGTTTGAAATTTTTTGACGAACTCTCGATCATGAGAAGCTCTATCAAACAACATGGTTGTGATTTTCTTTATTTCTGATCATAAAAGTTGAAGGATGCCTGGAATAACGTAGACTACGAGTAGCCCCCCATTTTTCCTCAGGGATACTAGAGCGAGCGAAATGCGAGCGCACGTGAAAATCACCCCATGCGAAAAAAAGACGACACGCGGCGGGGAGAGGGAAAATTCACTCGCTCTACTATCCCTGAGGAAAAATGGGGGACTACTCGTAGTCTAGGAATAACGCCTTAAGTATTTTTGATAACTAGATTCTCCTTACAGATTACATTGTTTGTCCATGATAATATATAAAAAGGAAAATATGACATTTGACAAGAAATCACTTAGGGTCTTATTCCATGCATTCACCCCTATAGTCTGTCCTTCAATTGTTTTGATAAGTTTGTGCAGAACCTTTTCAAATTTTGGCTAGAGGTGTTATTTCAGTGATAACATTTAAGGATTTATAACAGAAACCAAAAAGATATATTGGTAGGTTTATTCCATACATGAAAAAATCACACTAACCATGTGCTGTGACACAGTTTGATTCTCTGAAGAAGATTCGCAAGGCAAGAGTCCCAACGCTGTTTCTATCGGGATTGGCTGATCAACTAATACCTCCCAGAATGATGACGAGTTTATACAAGGTACGTCTTAAAAATGTCATTGAAATTTAATTTTCTCATCCTCTTCATATGCATCTTGAAATCCTTAAACTTTCTCCAATGTACATTCAAATTTCTGCAAGTATTTTCAAATAACTTGTCAGAAATTTGATACTTTAAAAGATAGGTTGATTTTTTAAGCAGAGGGGAAAAAATGCTATCAAACATTTTTTAAATCCAAATAAGAAGTTTAAACAAATTTTTCCAATTTAGAAGCCTTTGAGTTCATTTTTGTGGTTGACCCATGGCTTTAAAAGTCCTGGAACTTTTACCGAGAAAATAATCATAGTAAATTACTGGAGGATACATGGTCAAGTACAAACATGTATGCACGACAACGATTTACTCTATGCCCAGAAAAAATAGCCTCTTTGCTTTCATCTTGTACCTGATATCATTAGTTTTGAATGGTTTTGTTTGTGTTTCTTTCCTAGGCCTCAGGATCATGCTTAAAGAAAATGGAATGCTTTGATCATGGCACTCACAATGAAACCTGGCAATGTTATGGATATTTTGATGCTATTTCTAGATTCTTATGTGAGGTATATATATTGGCTTAAAAAAAGCTAGAAAATCTGGATCAGAGCGGATGGGACCTAATCAAACCCTGTCAGTGTAAACCCATTCTTTATCTTCTGTCATTTGGTTAGTTACAGGTGTTGATTAAGCCCAGTCCAATCCAGATTTTGTTGCGTTCTCCTAGAACATTCTCATTTACAGTTAACTTGTTCAAGTTGAAAGCTAACCATTTATAATAGAGTGCTTTAAACCCTATCACTGTTCTTTGGTGCTAAACCCCGTATTCAACTCTTTCACTGACCTAAAATAGATACCTAGAGCTGGTCCCTGTCATTCCTCAGGCCTTTTCTTTGACTCTCTAAAGGATGGATACTGTAAAATGCTACTTGTCGAATAAGCCCCCACTTATAACCCCTCCAGCATTTTTCAGTACCACTTTAACAGTGTCCGTCTTGAACAGAGTTCATGTGATGCTCTTCCGTCAAACACACATATGTGGCACAGAGGCAGCAAATCTTAATACACTCTGTAATGTAACATTTTTGATTCTCCAAAATATAATGTTTTCACTCATATTTTTTGTAGGTTCATCAAGCTAGACAAGCTGGAGTTATTGGACCTCCAGTTGGTGACAGCCCAAGCGTGTCTGGGGGAGCTGCTAAACCAACTGTCCTTAATGTACATGGCCGAACTGAAGACATTTAATTCAAATCATCTGGACTTTTGTAAAAAGAAAACAATGTCAGACTATTTTATCATAGTGTAAAAATGTCTGGTTCGTATTTACTTCTCTGACTGGTAAAAAGTGACTTAAAAGTTACAAGGGAGAAGTTCTCTACACCCAAACCCTTCAAACTTAAAAATGAGGATTGTAAATAATTTTTTTGTCAGTAAATATCCATACTCTTCTGCAGAAGGTTGTGCCTTGGCCCCCTTGCCCTCTCCTTGGAAATTCCCTTTAAAGGGGTTATGTCATGCTATTTGCTATAGTCGTTTTCAAAAGTTGGGACGTGTCTTCACATCAATTGAATTGAAAAACTATAATGGTAATGTTAGGTATTAAAACTGCTTTCTGTTATCTGTCGTCATGGGTGGCAAGGATGGGCGTGGATTGAAACTTGAAAAGTTGGCCTGCAAAAATCACCAAAAAAATTTATGGTTTGTGGGGTTTGAATGAAAGGTGCGTACGGATTGCTGCGTGATTGATTGTGACATGCATAGCACTTGTCTATGGTGAAAAGTAATGTCATAGATGTCAAACTGAACCGATAAAACTGTCTAAATTGTGCACATCAGTCACAGACATGGGGCAAAGAGACCCGCCCTTAGCATTTTCTTAAAGGAAGTCTGTTTTTTTCTGCTCTTAATAAAATTGTAATGTATGTGTTAACTCTTTTTGTCATCGATTTCATTGTACTAATGAAATGAAATTGTTTTGTTTAACCCCTGGAAATTTTGCCGAAAAACGCTGTTTGAAGCTAGCCTAGCACTATGCTAAGTTCTGGCATGCGCAAAAGACAGAATTTCCCTACATAGTTACTGAAGACTGTCTCCTTCACGTGTGTGGGTTTCTATGTGCAATTAAAGGGTGGGTGATTGTGTACCGTGCATGTATTAACGTCTCAATTGACTGGCCTACTTACTTGTACTTGTTTTTGGTTGAAAGGTGGTTGGATATATTAAGTTATGGAAGGTTGGAGATGGTATTTTCTCCCTCCTCATCTCCCTATCATATCACGTGACCTTTATTCCATTCTCTTATCCAATCTCCACCTGACTGAGGAAAAAGATCTGGGCACAAAGCTAGTATTTTCAGGTTCACATAAACGGAACAATAATTAACCTTTTTCATGATAGATCAATATACAGCAATTAGTAAAATCTAGTTTTCTGTTTTCCCTTGCAAGTTAGAGCTACAGTTAATTTGTGGTACATACAGTTTGCTCCTGAAGAAAAATAAACTCTACCTAAATCCATATTCAAAGACTCACTTTATTGCTGACCTCTATCAAGCAAGCTTTTATGGACACATAAATTAAAAAAATCGCGCTTGATTGCAGATTACTCGTATACAACATATTTTAACCTACTTTCACTAGCCACCAAATTTCAAACCGATTTTTGAACAGCAATGCCAGTGTGTTAAATATTACATTTCAACTTGACAATTAATTAATTTACTACTCAAGACAGAGGAGCAAGGTAATGTACAAAAGAGCGTGAAACATACAAGAAATTTACATCTGACCGACGGGGGGTGGGGTGGGGCGCTAACTTGCGTGTGTTAAACTAAATATGGGAAGCGTTTTCTATGAGAGCTTCTCTTAGAGACACTCCGCACTAGAAAATTACCCAATAAATTCAAAAAGTCACCCTATGAAAATCCTAGTTTTTAAGTACTATCTAAACAGTTCTAAGCCTCTTCTATGTCTAAACACGACACAATCGTCAATTACAGTAAGTTAAGCCAACGCCGCGAGGTTTCCTGCGCGAGTTCCTTCCTCGGTCGCGAGGAAGAAACTTGGTCGCGCGCAATCTAAAACGTCTATCAATCTTTTTTAAATCTATAAGTTGAAGGGATTAATTCCGCTCGTTTCCTCTGTGAGGATAAATATCCTTGAGACTTGGTTCTAGGATAGTTTTAAAATAATGTTATAGGTGTTATTCATTCAAAATACGTCCTCGTTTCTGATTGGCTTAAAGACGTCAATGATTGTACATTGCAAATTAAACCACTGACGTCAAGACGAGACAAGACAGCGGCACAAACTAAACTATTTCGGTTTGAGAGCTAAACTCAAGAAAATGGTGAAAGCGTTCAGGTCTCCGCGAAGACGAAATATTAGAATTAGTGACTAAAAGAACTCAGTGAATGTAGCCGGCTTTTTTAGGAATAGCTACGAGGAAGAAACATCCGTTCACACTCTGAAACTGCAGAGAAACAAGTAAATTAATGTTTTAAACAACCCTACGTGGAAGTAAGAATGTTAAGGAACTTGGAAATATTTTAAATTGATAATAAAACAATTATTGAATTCGGCTCTAGTACAATATCTCGGAGGGTGTTATTCACCAACGCCTAACACCCTCCCCGATCTGAATAAATCTTCATATTTATCCTAAACCTTACTCTTGCCCAAGTCTGTCCCTTAACTATCAAGTGCCCATGTGCAAAGACAGCACCTGGCTACCATCGCAGATTAGCTTAATAACACGTGTTATTAAAATACAGGAACTATCCTTTTGGCCCATTCTTTCAGCATACAGCGAACTTTTTAACATTTAGATATTCTCCTAGCTTAACCCCACCCCCAAAACACTTCCCTACTCTAACCACCCCCAAATATTTTACAACGTGCATAAAAGAAAGAAGAATGTCTGTATTCTATTCAGACGCTGCTGAGTGGAACCCAGACTGCCTTTTTCTGCTGCTCGTCCACCACCTCTTGGATCTGGGAACAAATGTTGCTGAGGTTGCCAGTGCAGTGAACTGTACCTGAAGAGAAAACGAAATCATTAACATTGTCACTGTCAACCCCTTGCTTAGTCCCTGTACGGTGTCTTTCCAGGCCTTCTCGATCAACGTATTCTCGGTGACGCATCCGAGACGAAAGGCTGAAATCTCGATCGGACCACGTGACCCAAAACGCATCGGCCGGGCGCAATAATGAGGCCTAGGGACAAGGCAAGTCAACCCTTTTTAAAATAAAATATGTACACTTAAAAACAAAAGCGTAAAAACATGACTATACAGTGAAAATTCCTGTTTTTCCAAGCGGCGATTTATCAACCTCCAAAGTAACCATTTGAGCAAATACTCGTTTAGCTCCCGCAGTCAACAGCGTACTTAAACAAGATATTTTTTTCCAGTGAGTTTTGAAAAATTGGGAATCCGCTGTTAACTAAAATTACGGTAAAAGGGGCGACAACAACGAGCGACTTGTTTTGTAACATTGCTGCAAAATGAGTTCAATAGCGATGTTGCACGTTGTACCACCCACGAATCAAACTTGTCTTGCAACAAATCAGGTTGCAGGTTGCAAAAAGTTGTTACAGAACGTGGAGTATTTCTACTTTTGCCAATACAATTTGTATATGTTGCGCTTCTAACCGGCCCAAGACAAAATTGTTTTTCAGCAAGACAGGTTTGAACGAAGGTGGTACAACGCGTAACATCGCTTAACACCACAGTACACTACTGGCCTTACCATTAAAGAAGTGTTTATATTCTCGTTCCAGTTTTGCGGAAGATTCAAATAATTCTTTGGCACGTCTGAGACTGATCTTTTCTCTGATGTATCTTCCATCTTTCTGATCCCTGTCAGGAAAAAAAGAGTCACGGTGAGAGTAAAGTTTGCATATTGAGCCTATGATAAGGATTAGCCTTGTCCTTGTGCGGCGTCTTCCCAGGCTTTATTGGTCAATGCATTTCGGTGACGTAGCCACGACGACCGGTTCGCTCGGACCACGTGACCCAAGGCCGCGCGGAATAATGAGGCCTAGGGACTAGGTAAGATAAGGATAGGAGTGACAAAGGTGTATGTATGTATGTATGTAACCTGCACTCGGGGGGGACAAAGGTGCATAACCTGCACTCGGGAGGGGGAAGGGTGCTTCTTCCCTTTTTCTTTGTTTTTTTTTCCTGTTCCCGTCCGCTGACGTTCGTGCTCTCCCACAAAAAAGGAGAACGCCTAATCGCAGGTTAAAGGCTACATATCTCTCGAATTAATCCCTAGACTGCGCACACTTTCCTTTAGCGCGACAATGGATTTGGAGCGAGCAACCGCAAACAGTCTGAGTATCAAGCTAGCTACTCTACAAACCAAATGCTTTCGTTTTCACTGTTAAAGGGACGAAGTCATCGTAATTTTGTCCATTCTATTTAGTTTTACCAACTATTCTCGCTAAGGGGGTCAACGCTATCAAGGAAATTACCGTCTACATGACAAAACGCAGCTTCAGAACAAAGAAATAATGTCTCCCCAGGGCGACCAGTTCCAAATAGCTGAAGGTGGCTAATTTTCGAGACACACCTTTAATTCAAATAATAATTACTCGGCGCATACCCATACAGATGTGATCTAAAAACCCGACAATGTTAGGCAATAATCCATAAATTACAACAACTTCAGCGAATGCGGGACATTTATTTTAAGCCTAGCCTGCAAGCGGGCTTACTTGTGCTACGTCGGGGAAAAGTTTTCCTCGCGTGATGGCAGCTCCGCCGCCAAAATTTTCCCCGAACTAGCACAAGTGAGCCTGGTCGCACTTTCATAGAAAAAACGCCAAGATCAAATTCAAATTGGAGCAAACAGTTGAACGTTCTTCGACTGTCAACTACTAAAAGTAAGTTCTTCGTTTGTACGAACCTGATGTGTTTAGGAGATTTGAACTTAACAAACAGTATAATAGGATAGACTTGTAAAGCGTGCAGGCGTTCTACTGCAGATGGACTGACATCTAACAAAGAGTGTTTGTCTGTGACTTGCTTGATTGACGCCATTGTAGTGCAAGCAAGTTGATGGCCCTTCCAAGCGGAGTCTACAAAGGTGCCATCTGCAATTCCCCTCTCTACTTTCTCTTGCGGTAGATTAACCACTTCTGAAATCAAGTCAACATTAGAGGTTCATTATAATCCTCCTCCGCAGGCTTCACTGTCCCGTTTTCGAGAACGAGTGGGAGAATGGGGAGAGACCGGGCTCAGACTCCTCACGGTCAGTGTAAGCATTACAATAGAAGTTGCTTGAGAAGAAAACTAGTTCAATATATAATTACGCAAAACTAAATGCTATGGAACTTAACGTTAACGTAAAAAATTACTTCTAAATGACAACAAACGTCTCCCCAGCATTACAATTCAGTCAATGGTACAAACAATTGCCAGTCCGAACAGTTTTCAAAAATTCCAACTGCAATGTGTTTCATAGACTGTTCACAGTCCCCTATTTTTTCGTGAGATCGTTCAGATATACCGCGTCTTACCGTCACGGCTATCTTGATTTTCAAATGTACCGAGGGTACAGGCGTCGGGGATTATAGCTCTAGCGGGGGGCGGGGGCGAGAAAAATTTCTTCCTCCCAAACCGCCCCCGCCCCCGCCCCCTAAGTAGTTTTGACACTCATGCAAGATGACAGCCCGTAACGCAAAGCGCTCGATCTCGATGATCTTACGGAAAAAATAGAGGACTGTGAACAGTCTATGCGTTTCACTCTTCTTCAAATTTATCTATCTGTGACTTCTTTGTATTTGCTGTGTAATTTTGACTCAATCTGGTGACCAGTTCCGAATCCCTGAACAAAACTTCAAGAACAAGAACAAGAACATGATCTGTTTTTTGCCTCTTTTGATTGTAGACACAAGACCAACTGAACACGTAAAAACAGGATTAACAAAACTAAGCATTCAATGAGCGGAAAAAACGCTTCTGTATCCGCGTTTTACATATTAGTACATTTCTCTATTAAATATCCTTTGCAAAACAACATAAACAAATGATCAAATCTCTGTGGAACACATGAAAAAATGGCCGTTAACTCAAATTTGGTGGTGAATTTAAGCTGAGGAACTAACATGCAATAGGTATACAGCTGCTAACTGCGTTGTAATGCTTAAGTACCTGGTTTACACTGCACAAACTTGTACGGTACTTCCTCACTGAGTTTCTCATACAACACTTCCACCATCGGGCTAAACAGTATAACAGCTCGCTGGATATGAGCTGCAAAAAAACATGTAAGAACATCAAGGAATCAGTATTTTGTCTTAATCGCGCTTGAAATTGACATAACGTAAGTTACTCTATTCAAATTTACTGTACTCACTGTCCAGTTTTTCCACTGTTTGATATGACGCTATTCCAAGATCTATAAGAAGAGAAAAATCACAGTAAAATTTAGCTGGCTACTTCGCAAAACTACTTTTGATAAACATAGACAGCTTACTGGTAGTGACAGCTCCGTATGACCTTTTTCTAAATATTTATATCAGACTCATCATACTCTCCACCCCGCCCCCTAAAAAAAATTTCCCAACAAGGAAGAAAATCTGATCGCCTGGAAGGTTTCCTGAGATGAAGCTCAGGGTAATTAATTTATCTTTCACATTCACAAACGTTGCGAATCAAATACGCCACTAACTCTTGTGACGATCAGCACAATATCTAAGATAATGAAAGATATTATTTTCTGAGGTTTTAGTTTGGAAGCCTATGTTAACCGTTTTTTTTTGTAATCCATAGAAAAGTTACCACACTGAGCCTGTGAAGGTAGCAAGATCCAGAGTGGGGTGGGAAAGAGAAAAGATAGCGCTCCATTCCCCTCCCCACCGGACAAGGGCTCATATACACACAAACAGGACAGACCTGGACAACTGGTTGTGATGCTGGTAGCGGAGTCACTTCCTTCTCGTGAATGATTGACAGCTACGCCATGCGTGCCTTTCTTGCTACGTCGAAAGAAACTTCGCCTTCCGGTGAGTTTGTAATCCTCGCCATGCGCTAATGCCACGCTTCTACGCAACAAAAGCTCCTGCTCAGCTCTGAAAGTAAAACAGAAATGGACTTTACGTCAGTCGCTCGCGTGGCGCTCTCGAGGCCTTTGCGTGTTATAATAATAATAATAATAATAATAATAATAATAATAATAATAATAATAATAATAATAATAAACCGAAACCGGCAGAAACCGAAGCACGGGACTGACCGAACACAAACGAGCGACGAAGAATGGTGACGTCAACAATCACATTGCTGAGCACCATTTAAAGACGAAACATCAAATTGACTGGGACTCTGCGACATGTATAACAAACGACTTATTGACGAGATCAAGCAAAACTAACTACGAGAGAATGACAATTTGACTAACAATAGACGACTGTTTAACTGTGACAATAGACGGATCGAAACGCACCAATTACTGATTACGAGTCTTCATAGCCAATAACATCACGGCTTAACTGACAGACGACCAATAACATCGCGACGTAATTGACCAATCAGATCAAAAACCAGAGTATAATACGTGATACAACTCACTTTGACTCTGAAGATGACTACCGCACAGGTTGTCGAAACGTCAGTCACTGTCAACAACAACAGTCCTCTTCAGGACTACGTTCACCCGGACGATCAAACTCAACCTACTTTTGAAATAATAATAATGCAATATTGTCTCAATATAGTTGCAATTTCTCTTCATCCATTTCCTTTGGCGGCATTGTGAAGGTTTAACGATATTTTTTAACTTTAGTAGCTGTTGATTAAGTAGTGTAAAATGAAATAATTTGTTTGGATGTTTTGCAGCTCGGTAGTGGTTTTAAGTAATTTGTAGTGTTCGTATTCAATAAAGGCTGTTAAGTGACAAAAAATGAAAACTGAATTCAGTTCTTCGCAATTCCTCGCGCAAATTTATCTCTCGTGAACCTCGAGAAGATATTTCAACGTCAGACTTTGGTGGTTAGTATAGGTAATAGCATGATTTGTTGTGATATTTGGCATAAATACCACGAGTGATATTTCGAAATTGTTGTACGTAATTTCACGAGCCGTTAGGCGAGTGAAATTTGAGACAATTTTGAAATATCACGAGTAGTATTTATGCCAAATATCACGTACAAATAATGTCATTATTTGTTTATGCTATTACCCACGAACGGTTTGTAATTTTCACAAGTAGGTATTTCAAATTAAGCCGAAATACCACTGCTCTAAGCCAATCAAATTGCAGAAATTTCTCATGTGGTGGTTAACAATAAAAACATACTTCATTCTGCTGGGTATCATTCCAATATCTCTTTTCTGTGCATCTTCTTCGTTAACAAGGCACGCTCTCCAGCAGCCCATGTGACCATTGTACATTGTGTCGGTGACGAAAAGAATGTCTCCCTTCTTAAAATTTAGTTCATCTTTTGAGTGCGGTATTCGATCAAAAAGGGCCCTGAAATACAAGGAATACAGTAAAAACCAGCAAGTTCGAACCTAATTTTAAGAATCTGTTATGTTTAAATTTGCCAGTTATGCCCCCTCCCCCCCACCCCATACCAAAACTTGTTTAGCCTATAATTTGATACAGGTTCTTACTTTCTAAAATCTATCAAAAATTCTGTATACTTAAACCAATAAGACAAAAAAAAACTAATGAACATTTAGGATCCTCCTTGGAGACACAGGTGTCTTATCACTCCAACTGCCATGTAAGGGTATGCAAATTTTATACAAGGGATAAGCTGAATACCACTAAAAACAATTAGCTACAATGTTTTTTCCTTCAAAAACTAAGAACCTGTTTAAGAACCTGCATGTAAATAGCCTAAAGTTGTGCTAATTACCACTTACCTAAGAACTTGTTTAGGCTAATTTGGTTCTTTGTCGTGCGTTTTTACTGTATTACGATTAGAACTAGATTCCACGCGAAACAGGTAGGAAAATTCTGAAGATGATTTAGGTGTCCCACGCTCGTGACGTGCTGATCACTTCATTTTCACATTTGTTTCACTGACCTTAAAATTTACCATCTTTCATTCTTTCACCACACAGTGCGACATTGACATTGCTGATCCTATCAGTATGCAGGACGCATGTCAAATATGAACCTAGTATATGGTCTCGCTCTCCATGAGTTCTCCGTAGCTCAAGGGGATAGAGCGCCCACCCGGTGTTTGGGAGGTCATGGGTTTGAATCCTGTCAGGGATTCAGATTTTTTCTTGGTCCCACGCTCGTGACATACTGATCATTTCATTTTTACATGATTTATATTACCTGACGTAGAAGGAGTCTCCTGGTTGATCCCTCAGGGAATTGAATTCTAAATAAATAAGAAGGCAAAAGAATAAAATGTTATTATATTAGCTGGACGGAAAGCAAATTCTCTCCTGTTTATACAAACAAAATACTATTAACACAGAGAAATATTCTTCATCACCAACAAGTTCTTGAGAGCTACACAAAGCTCTTAGAACTCATCCGAATCCCTTCACAGTGGTGACGTTTGGTGTTATTCGCAGCCTATAATCATGGACTAAAGTCTTGGGACACTTTTACATTTCTGGGCGTTTTCCAATTCACACAGGCCCAATCCCTCCCTTCACCCCACAAACAATGTTGGACACGTGTATCCAGAACTTTTTCTGAGTTTCAACATCGTATAGGGTGGGGGGAGGGAGAACAGCAAGAAAAATTCGAAAAGGATGCACTGTTTTATGAGGAAACCCAGAATGAAAGAAAAATATGAATATTGCATTACTGTCCCCAGGACTTTTGTCCATTGTTGTAGTTTTGATAGGGCTGCAAAACTGTTCCATATCAGCCAGATCTTGGACTAAACTGTACAAAAATTTTAATAGGTGTCCAGAAACAAGTTAAAAGCAATGGAAATCACCTCTGTTCAAATAGAATGATGCATGGCATACGCAAAGAGAGGATGTCGAGGGAGAAAAGATCTTCTACCCTTTTGATGCTGGCTACATTGATAAAATACTAAACTTACTTGTGGGATTAAACTGCGCCAGTATCTGGACTGTTTCAGTGGGTTTACATAACTCTAGCATCGCTTGCTCTGCAGTGACTGATGTCAGATCTACACCATTCAGCTGAAAAATAAGGTTAATTAACGGTATGTAACGAAGAATGAAAACCAAAATCAACTTTCATACCAACTAACAGAGGATAATAATTTATAAAAGGTTTAGATCACACTATTGGCAATCTGTTTAAAAGGGTAAATCGTTCTTTACATAAGTTGATATCCAAAAATAATCGTCCAGTTTTGTCACAGCCTGAGAAAACAGCTGACATTTGACGACACTACCACTGTTTTCACTGCCAAATCACGTCTGAGAAACGAATGCAGAAATTCCATACTGATGATGTGTCACTACCCAGATCTGGGTAGTGATTCTGATTGGTTGAAGAAAATTTTTAGCCAATCAGAAGCACTACCCAGATCTGGGTATTCTGATTGGTTGCAGAAAATTTTTAGCCAATCAGAAGCACTACCCAGATCTGGGTAGTGACATGTCATCAGTATGGAATTTCTGCGCTCGTTTCTCAGATGTCATTTCACAGGGAAACCGTGGTGGCTTCGCGAAATGTCAGCTGTTTTCTCAGGCTAAAGGAACTAAGTAATGAGAGTATAGAATTGCCTAAGATGATAATCATCATCATCATCATCATCATAATAGTCCCTTATATATCGCAATTTCAATATGCATGCTCAATTGCACTTCACAGAAGTTCTAAAGAAATTCGTAAGTACATGCAATATTAAAAATTAAGAACCTGGGTAGTCATGAAAAAACTTGGGAAAATAAAAATGTTTTCAGTGTAATTTTAAACATTACAGATTCGCGCTTGTCCTATGTCCCATGGTAGGTTGTTCCACAACTTTGGGGCAGCAAACATAAAAGAGCAATCTTCAACGATCTTTGATGATTTCATTGGAGGAAAGCCAAGTAAAGTTCCATCAAAAACACTGCGAAGACTGTAATATGAAGGTGTCACAACACAGATAAGAGAAGAAAGATAAAAATGGGCCATATTATTTAATGATCTTAAAATCAATGCACTGCCTCACAGGTAGCCAGTGCAAATCCCCTAATATTGGCATGATGTGACAGAACTTAGGCTCTGAATAAACAGAGATATTCTCATAACATAGTCCCTTTAAAAGCTCTGGACGGCAAATTTTAGAGAGCAAAAGATCACCTTAGTATTTCATATTCTTACTTCTAAAATGTGATCTCCAACTTTGAGCCCAGACGAATTAGCAGCAGTATCATCAGGCTGAATTTCAGATACAAAAATCCCCATGGCATTCCCACCAGCAATGCTGAAACCTAATGAGCTTGGACTCTTTGTGAAGAATACATAACGTAGATCTCCCGGGGGTTCGTTATCAATGATTGGTAGAATTTCACCGTTTCTTCTGATTGGTGGAGTGTTGCTGCTTCCTCGTCTCTTTCTGTTGATTGGTGTGCTGCAGGTAGTGGTTGCTTCTGATTGGCTGGATAATGACTCTGTAGTGTCTTTGAATTTCTCGGGATTGAACTGTGCCAGAATGGTGACACTGTTGCCTGACTGCTTCAGAATCATTGCTGCTTGGTCGTAAGTTGCACATCTGAGGTTGACACCGTTGTACTACATGGACACAGATGAGCATTATTACTAGTAATATCCAAAGGTTAAGGAGTGCAGGCTTTTGATTAGATGTCAAAATGCTTGTGTAAATTTCAGATCATAGACGGTCAAAACACAAGTGATCGGGTAACGAATAATATAAGGTAGAAACGTGTGTGATCAGACTGCGTTCTATGCATTCCATTCATTCTTAGTGGAAGTCTAAATGAATGATGGCTACATCTGTGCCAAGCATGCATAATAGCAACCTGGAGATTAAGATTACGAGATCCTCCTGTTGCCCACAATTATACATTGTATTCGCCATCTGTCTTCTCATTGGCTAAGAGCATACAGTTAATTTTGGGAAATCAGAGCAACCCACAGATTACTGGCCTACAGTCAGTTAGTACTGACTAATCTGTAAGTTATGCCCGCATGCATTGCTTGATTTCTGAGAAGATTTCAAGAATGTCAAAAGGTGTTACATGTCCAGATTTGAAGAGCATGGTATAATGGTTCTTATTATATAGACACGAGTGTTTTACTGGAAAATATACCACTCGTAAAATTCATAAAAACTACATCCGGGACACGAGTGGTTTATTTTCCATAATCTCACACATGAGTTTATCGATGACGTAATTTCGGTCATTTCCCTCTATTATTTTATCGATGTCTTTTTGTCTATATAATAAAAAGAACATTACACGGCGGCTTGAAGATATGAATTTTATTTTCTCGTGGCAAAAACAATCGTTTACTCACTCGCTGTGCTCGTTCATAAAATATTGTTTTGCCACATCGAAAATAAAATTCATATCTTCGCGCCACCGTGTAATATCCTCTATATATACCATGAAGGCTAAGCCAATCAGAGATCTGGAATTGCATTATCCAATGATTCAGTTTTTAATAATAACATTGTAGTTATTTTCTTCAAAACAATAAAGGGTAAAACAAATAATTAATATTGGATTAGTTTTTTGTGATATCCAGAATAATCAAATTATTACTACATATATAATCACTCCAGGTGGGTGGTACAAGAGACTTACGGAGGGCAAGGTAGGTTCATAACAACGAAAAGGGTGTTTGGGAAGACACAGGTTCAAATCCTGTCAGTGACTCAAGATTTTGTCTTGCCTCAAGCTTATGACATCACATCTTTCAAAAGACAAAAGTCATTGAGGACAAAGTGTCTCCATTAATCTTTTTGCCAGTTCTTGTAAGCTAGTAGCAACTCTGGAATCACATGTACCTCTAACAGCTGATCACCGCATTTCAGTCCAGCCTTGGCAGCCACACTTCCCTCATTGACTGAGGAAACAAATACCCCACCCTGGCAGGCAGCGGCGATGGAAATGCCCAGAGTGTCTTTCTTTTCAATCGTCACCAGGCGTGGTTCATAATCCCTGAAAACAAAAAAAAAGGTAACTTCTCAGTTGGAGATGCCTTCCAACATTCAGGAACCAGAAAATTTACATTCCCCAATAAGAAAAACAGTCAGACCTTTTCACAATGGCAGGAAGGGTGGGTGGTACTATAACACCACTCTTTTTTGAAGCGGATACAGCACTTTTTTAATGCTTATTATAGCATATAAATACAAATCACAATCAAAATGCATCAATATAACAGAAGTCAAATGTTGAGAACAAAAAAAAGTTAATGAAGCAAAGTGAAGAGAGAACAGAACAATACTGTTTACCTATTCAAAGGATCTTCCCCTGATTCAGGTGGGTTACTGAAGTCAAATGCAAGAGCTGGACCTGTTTCCGTAGCTGGGACAATAGGAGTTGAAGGAATAACAACAGGGGTGGTGTGACCTGATGAGATAGAGTATGTTGAGCTCACTGAACTGCTACAGTAGCTAGATGTTCCAGCACTGGGGTAAGATGTCACACGTGCTCTTGATGTGGGTAGATTGATTCGTTGAGGTCTGCGTTTTGCTTTTGAAGGTGTGTCATAGTCATACATTGACAAGCACTGCCTGTTGCGGCTATCCCCATCTGCACTATGAGAAGAGCCCTGTCGACTATGCCTGCCTTTCCCAAAAGGGTCTGTCTTTAGTCTTGATTTCTTCTGCTTTCTATCACACTGCACTGGTAAACACTGCTGACTAACAGCAGGGAGCCCTTCGCAACTCTGCACTGAACGGCTCTTAGCGGTATAATATGGTACACTTGTTGACCTCAGCACAGCAACTGTCGCAGGAGGTGTTGAGGAATTTGGTCGGGGTGGAGTCAGTGCAAAAGGATCTTCATGACTAGATGAATAGCGCCCAAAACCAGATGAACCAGGACTGCTTCCTAGAGCAATCTGGTGTTGTCTTGAAGAAGGTGCCGACTGGGGACGGGAACCACGGAAATGTGAATCAGTCTTTTTACGAGTTACCACAGTGTTTGATGTATTTACTACGGAAGAGTCATGAAAATAATTTGAAGGATAATGAGCAGTAGACCCTAGAGGGGGTGAAAATGTGGGCGCATCATCTTCCTGAGAATGTACATTGTCTTCTTCACCCTGCGGTGGTGACGTGATGGCCGACATGTAAGAACAGCTTCTCATGGGAGGGACAGGGCGCTCCTTATATGTCAGTTGTACAGGCATAGAAAGACGTGGTGACTGTGTAAACGGGCTGGAGCGAACTAATGATTTTCTCAACTTAACGAATGCTTGGCTGCGTTTGTTTGAACCCGCAGATGATGCAACAAGAGGTGAAGCACTCCCCTCCTCGGTGGACAAATCACCGCTAGAGTCAGTTTGCTTTCTATTTAACATTTCTGGATTTTCTTCGTACAGCGGTGTCAGTGATGATAATGACTGCAACACTGGTTCAGATATAGACTCCGGTGTTGATGACATCTGATCATCAGGCAGTGGAGAACTTTTCCCTGAGAAATAAGCAGATGACGACTCTTGTTGGAGCTCGCTTAAACTTCCTGAGTTTGTAATTCGTTCCTTAGTAAGCTGAGCCTTGCGACATATGTCATTTTCCCTGTTAATTCTGTCATTAACTTCTTCAAGTAGTGACTGAAGCACTTGTGTTCGTGATGAAGTTGTTGACAGCTTTTGGACAGTGAGGCTGAGAAGACTTGTTGACAAAAGACTTTCCACTTCAGACTGGTTAAGGTTTTCAACTGATGTTCCATTTATCTACAAATAATCAAGTTTATCAAATAAAAAGTCAACGCTATCCTTGTGAGCAACTCTAGTTACAAATAGCATGGTGAAACCCCACTTGAACTATGACTTAAACTCCTGGGGAGAGGACTTCCCAGTAATAGGCTAATGGGGATGTGTTGTTGGATGGGGTCACCTTTTCACAACTAATTATTGACTATTAAGGGGTTGCATTTTCAATAGAGTAGCTAAAATGGGGTTGCACATTTTCAAAATTTTGGAGGTAAGAAAATTCTGGTAAGAAGGGATGAAAAATAGAAATATTTTTACTACATTCAGATTAATGAATGTGTCTATAAAGTATATGCATGAGCTTAAAGTGACTTAGTTGGGATTACAAAAATTACATTTGCCCAAAAGTGACTAAAATGGGGTCGATTATTGGCCACAGAATAGACTACAACGGGGTAGGGGTTCTGAGAGGCCAGCGGCACATACCCAGCAAAAATCGACCCAAGTAACCCCCCAGCTATAACTCTGCAACGAAAACCTCTAGAGAGGAGGTCTTTTCCTTTGCTGTTCAGTTCTTATTAGCAACAAATCAGTTGACGCAAGAATGACACCATAACTTGTTTTATCAAATTTAGGGTAATACATAGTAAAAGCCCTCTAGAGCAGTTCATCAACTTCAAAAGTGATAGGTAATGAAAAATAAAAAATTCCATAGTATATTTGACCTTAATTCTTGCTGAGATCTTTCACTAGTGGCCGCCCTTAGTAAGTTTATCACAAGGTCATTTATGATAACCCACTCTTGTCAACAACCAGCTCTAGTTTCCACCAATTTAATGGATTCCCAAGGTGGTTGCTCACAAGAGTTTTGACTACAATAATATGCACTGTAACGTATGGATCAAGTTTTCCTTTTTGGATTTAAAGCCTACATGCCAAGTAAACAGGCCATACAACAATACCAACAGTTATAATTTTATTCCTAGACTTTCACTCAACTAAACAGGGACAGTCATTGGCTGATTCTTGGTCACATGGCCTTGACTAAAATCAAATGCATTCCGATCGTGATACATTAAGCAATGTACCACGCTCAGGATACATTACAGCACATGATCAAGGCATGGTGGAAAGTGGTGTGACAGAAGGCGGGAAAAACACTGCCAGTTTTCTTTTTAGTGAATGAACACAACAACATAAACATGAAACCTCAAGCTAAAAAGTAACGATTTCCAAAGTTATCCTAAGAAGAGAAACAGCTAGTGGAGGAAAAAGATGCAGATAGTATAAGGAAAGTACGTTGTAAATCATTCATTCAGTGGTTTTGAGAATTAAATTTGTGTTCTTATAAGTACCAAGTCGACTGTTTTGATTTGCTCCACTAAAGCGTATTCTTTTGCTGCTGCTGAAATACGTTGAATTGAAAGTAAAGAAATATAACAAAAGACTTAATGTCAGGTCCCTTGGGAAACCAGTTAGTTTTGTTTTCCCTAGAGTCCTGATGTTTCCCTCGACTTCATCTCAGAAAACATCAGGACTCTCGGGAAAACCAAACTAACTGTTTCCCTCCAGATCTGACATAAAGTGTGTAATGTAACAACTCTTCTTACAGTAATAATTTTGTCCCCAACGGCAATTCTTCCCTCATCAGCTGCAACACTACCAGGAACTATGGAGCTGATGTGATTTTCACTGTCGACTCTAATTCCCATCTCTGAAAGACACAACAATGAGGAAAAATTTAGTACATGTATGAAGCACTTGTTATGAACTTTTGCCTTGTTATAAACATTTTTTATCCATAGCAATCAACTGAAGGTAGTTTTCTACATCTCTTATACTTTTCTTATTTCACGGAAACGTAGATATCACCTTGCAATAACAAATTTTGTACTTATATATAGGTATTTGGACCTTTACAGTTATAGTGTCTTTTACTGAGAAACTGCCATTTAAGGTGACACTTTTATACAGCCATCTATCCAACTTCCTATCTTCCCCACATAAAACAGCTTTCAAAATGTTGCCGGCACCAGCTAAATTTTTTTGATCACGTTCTTTATATCCATTGTTATGTTTTCTGAGCATAAAACTCATATTTGCAAACTCAAAATTCTTTGAAAGATATTCCATAACAATGTTTTTTGTCCCTTTACCTCTGTTGTTTGTCAGCATCAAGCTGACTGGGACCAGCAAGGGTCGCAAACCCGTTGACCTCTTTCTCTTCACTGTCTACAATAACAAAAGATGAAGCATTATAATCAGTTAGTGGTGATAACTTCCAGATGTATTGATGGGAAAATGTGTATTGAAGTTATATATTCTGTTCCAGCTATTTTTCCTTTGTCACTGCTAAAAAATACTAAAAACAGAACAGTTTTAGCTGACAGCTAAATTGATAAACGTTGATTACCCACCATAAAAAAAGCTGAGAGTGCTATCCCCTTTAATTAGATTAAATTGAAGGGCTAGTGCTTGAAACATTGGTTTGAGGTATCAAACTTGGTTGATAAAACTCATTTATCAAGTTGTTTTCTTTGACCCTGTAAATAAAATTAATTGTAAAAGCCAGCGCTGGTACGGTTTTTTCACTGGATCAAGTTACATATATTTTTCTTATAGCTGCAGAAGTTTCAGACAACAACTAAAAATTAAGACTGTTCAGTTTTCAACATAAAAAAAATCATAAACATTTACTGTTTCAAGCAACTGGTCAGCCATGCAATTAATGTAGTATCAGCTACATGTAACACTTGAGACTGCTGCAACAACCACTGTACTCAAAAAGTACAGTATTTTTAACCCTGATTCTTAATAAAAGAGCAAATTTTGGTCAAATGAAATTCACTAACCATGTTGACAACTTCTCCTCTGCTGATAGCTTGCACTGCAGTACAATACTTGACATTTGTTAAATCGATGTTGTTCACTTTCAAAACACAATCGTTCACTCTGGTGCAAAAAAATAGAAAAAATAAACTTATTAGTTAATAAACAAGGAGAAAAATTTGAGACATGTTGTTATATTTCATCATAATTTTTTTTTTGGACATGGTTAACCCTCTAACAGACTAAAGTCGAACTTCCATAACAGCCACCTCTCTACAATGACCACTTTCTTCTGTCCCCAAGATGGCCATTGTAGAGAGGTTCAACTGGAGCATGCAGGAGCAAACACCTCAGAGTGGATAAAACAAGCCACATTTTGACAAAAAGGCATCAGATCCATCTAGGCTGGAAACAGCCATGTTCCTAAAATCAAATCTACATTAAGTGAATCTGTATCAACCCTTGCGTGGGGGTTGGAAGTAAGGAGCACCCAAGGGGGAGTATGGGTAGAGGTACAGTCATGTGCTGCTGAGGCCCTAAAAACCCTGACCTTGTTTAAGACAAAAATTACTCAATTCAGTACCCTTTTTATAGTGCGGTTGGGAAAACTGTGAACACTTGAAATATCTCAGGAATGTTTGTTGTGTTATGACCAATCACAGCAAAGATCAGGACATGCGAACTAGCCACAAAACCACAAACTAATTAACGCTCTTGCTTGCAGTTCAGTTTTCTAAAATGCCTGATTAACTTTTTTCTTACAACACAATAACATTTCAGAAATATTTCTGGTGTTCACAGTTTTCTCGGTTTGACTGTTAGACAAGAGACCTTATTTCATAACCCTAATTCATTTCATACAATGAGTTAACCAGGGGGTTCTTACCACTTACATAGGGAAACCAGACATTCTGATCAGATAATACAAGAGATCACTATAGAGATAGGGATTGTATAAAGTTGGTATCTTTGGGACTAGTAACCTGTCCATAATAAAGGGGTGTATACTTTATAGAGGTAAAACAGGGTACCCTTTGATGGGTGTGGCATCCCATTGAAGGAGAAGTAGTAATACTCATACAGTACTCTCTTCATAGAAAATAAAAAAAGATAGAGTGCAGTAAAGTGTCGAATCACTTAAGAACACTTGAGACCAACTTCAGAGTCAGGTACAGAAAAACACGTGAATTAAGTGTGATGTTGGTTTTTCTGTTGCACTTTTAAGACTTGAAGGTGATCCTACCTAAGCTTGCCATCTGCTATACTGCCTTTTGCAACATTGGTTATTACAATGGAGCTATCATTGGGGATGGCTGGAGTGTCTGTCCCACCAGCAATAGCAATACCAAGATCATCATCAATGTTCATCTGAAATCACATTTAATGCCAGAATTTAAAACATGTACCAAAAACACTGATAGGGTCAAACCTATCATAGACAAACTCCTATTTAAGTAAATGCAAAGATCTTGTAGTCACTTATTAATAATTATTCAAAGTGGTGGCTTAGAAGAGGTTCCCCCCGTGCATGTATAACACCTTGACTGGAAATACTGATTCGTTTTTTTTAGATAGGCATTCACTTAACAGAGGTAGGGATATAAGGTGTATTTTCCACTGTATTTCAAAAAGCCACCCAGAATTTTCATATTTCATAGAGTTTATTATCCCTGAAGCTGTTTTCAGTTGTCTGATTTATTATGATCCTATATTTTAGCTCAAATAAACAACAGAACACTCTTAAAAATGAAAGAACTCACCCTTTCTAAAACAACAGATTCTGTTTCCCATTCCTAGAAGAAGGAAGACAAAACAATTTAAGTAAACACTACTGCAGCCAGACAAAACACCCCCTTACTGTGACTGAATAACTAACATTTCACACTGTATTACCATAAACAAAGGGCACAATGATACAGGGCTCTGTAATGGTAAATGTCCAGCATGTGACATGGCTTTAAGGAAGCATTATAGAGGCCCTCTTGAAAAGAGGCTATGATATGTCCATAGTCTGAATTTCAAATAATTATGGCTGTTTTGTGTTCTGAGGAGTAGGCCATATCCCTGTTGGTATTGAACCAACCTTCGCCTCCTTTATCGCCATTTCATTGAGTCTTATGTCACTGTTTGAAGGCCATGTTAGTTGCTGCAATTTTACCCTGGCTAGAAGCACTAGTCCAGAACCACTTCTTCATCACATTATTTTACTGTAAGTCGGAATTAAGAAGAATGTGAAAATTCATTGAAAAGTGTTTCTTTATCAGGAACGAAAATCAGCAACTGAGGAGAGTCAGGTAATTGACTAATGCCCTAAAAAGAAAAACTCCTCTTTCCATCACAAAAGATTTTCTTTCCAGATCAGGTGAGTATTCTGGTTTATTAACTTTTCAATGCTTTACTCTCCAATAGGCAAATACTTCCTAAAGAAACAGGTAGACCACGAATCCAGAGATTTGCCTGACAACTGATTTTGTCGGCAAACATATGTCAAGTGGTTTTGTTTGTCAAATCAAACAGGTGAACTCACGTGGTCACATCCACTAGCATTTGGTAGGCCAAGTTGAACAATGGTGTTCTACCTCAACCAAAAAGGACAAATTTATTCATGGAGAGTCAACTGAAGAAAGTGCTTTTAGTTGCAGCCTTCAAGTGCTTTTTAACTTTGATGTGCGAACAATGAAACCAGCAACTGACCATGTGAGTTTACCTTTTTTGTTTGACATACAAAGCCAAGTGAGCTAAGACGTTAATGTCTGATGCCAAAATCAACGGCCACATAAACAGTCAACTCTCTCTTAACCCTTTAAGTCCAAGTGGTGACCAACATCAATTTTCTCCTAATGATATCCATACACTGTCAAGAGACTAGGTTATGAGAATTAATAAAATGATCACCAAAGAGAAAATGTCTTGATCTTTTACCAAATTCTCTCAACACATCCTTTAATAAAATGTAAGGAGATCAGTTTGGAGAATTTGTATGTGCATATTGTAAAACAGACACCTAGAGTTGGTCACTCCCTGCCTTTCTTTACCCCCTTCATTTGACTTTATATGAGACGGACATCTCTCTAAGATGGACACTTAGTGCCGGTCCCAAAGGAATCCTTCTTAAAGAGAGTTGACTGTATTGTTGAATTCACCGTCTACATGTTTCGGTAGTGGTCTCCTTTCAAAGTGCAGCAGTTCATCAGAAGTTGCTTAGGGCTTTACTCCAGTCTCCCCTTCAATAGAGAGGAGAAGTCGTTACCTCACGTTGCCATAGTAGCAAAATTTTGGATGACAACAATCAAAAAATGTCACTTAAAGGTCTATTCGCACTATTTCAAACTTCACCGATCTTATTCAATTTCATTTAATTAGGCAAATCTTGGCGAAATTTTCTTTGAGGCCATGTCTATCGTTATTTAAGTTGAGAAAAATTTTGTGTTGTGTTCACCTACTCCATAAAGCGGGCTTGTGAAATTGGGAAGTTCCATGTCATAGTGGTACAATGACGGAAAAGAAATGTACAAAATAACGTGATGCACGTGCAAAGTTGTTGTTTTTGTTGATATAAACATATTATTTTTTGCCGTTCTCCTTGGCGTCACCGTCATCGTTGGTTTTGTTGTCATCCAGAAATAGTGCTGCCATGGTAGCATGATGTCACACTTCTCCTATCTTTTATAGAGACATGCATGAAACCTAAGTTTTAAATATAGATCACTATGGATGTAACCTATCATTGGTATGACTATCTATTATACACTTTTTAAAACAGTGTGTAATCAACCACAAAGTATTTGGCAGTATTTTGCAAGATAAAATATTAACTATGGGGTGCTCTGGAGAGCAGAAAGATTAGGATAAATAACAGAGCACTTACGTTGGAATCAGTGTCAATGGCAGAATCTCTGCTCGATACAAGTTCCTGAGGAAGGTTGCCTTGCTTCAGCTGGGACTCAATATGCTGTCGCAACTCCAAAAGCTCACCCACAGCTTCACTATGTTTCCTTCGAATATGATCAGATTCTTGCAAAAGTTCAGCAAGGTCGCTTACAGCACGATCGCGCTCTCGTTGCATCTTATCAAACCTGATTTTTAGAGAGTCCCTGTCCTGGATAACCTTGTCCCTCTCTGTTAGTGCCCAATCTCTTCTCATTTTCACAACTTCAACATCATGCAATGCATCTGTTAGTTCTTTGGAAAGAACTTCAAACTGTCTTCTCAGAGCTTCAACTTCATTTTCTCCTTTTAGGACAAGCTGATGCTTCTGTTTGATCTCAAAACATTCTTTCAAAATTTTGTCCCTATGGATGATTGCTTCACTACGTTCTCTGCGTGCAACATTCCTTTCCTGTTTAAACATTTCACAGTCTTCTCTAACTTTGTCTCGTTCTTTGACAAGGCTGTCTTTCTCTAGTAATGCCTGGCTAAGCCTTTCTTTGAGCTTAAGTGCCTCTTTAGCAACTTGTTCTCTTTCTTCAACCAGAAGGGACATCTCTCCTTGTGTGTCGTCAAAGTGATTCTGCAGTTTTGAATAATCTTTTTGTAAACTTTCATTTGTCTTTCGCATATCAGTAAGCTCATCGTGAAGTTTTTCAATTTCTCTATGAACTGTGTCTCTTTCACTCATTACCAACTGATACTCATTCAAAGCGGCATTCCTCTCCTCTGTTAACTTTGTAATATCTTTTGCTGTTTTCACCTGAAGAGACATGACTTGGTCACATTCTCTCCGAGCCAGATCATACTGCTGTTCCAGTTGTTGTTTATCTTGGAACGACCTTTTAACCACAGTATCACAATCCTTCATCGCTTTTTCATACTTTTTGACTGCAGCCTCAGATTGTTGTTTAAGTCCATTGCGCTCTATGATAAGAGAATCTCGCTCATGAATTAAGCCATCAAATTGTATTTTCAATGCGGAGTAATCCGATTCCAAGTTTTGAAAACTATTAAACAGATGGTTATACTCTGACCTGAGCTCACGATGAACATCTTGAAGGCTTTCATGGTCTTTCTGATGTGTCTCATATTTTTCAAAACTTTTATTTCCTGACTGGCTGTTTAAATACTCCTCATATTGTTGATTGTCTTTCATTTCAATAAGTTCAATTTTTTCTCTTTCCCTCAACAAAACAATTTCCTCGTACTCTTGTTTGAGTTTATCACGCTCAAGGTTCATCTCATCAACCCTTCTCTGCAAGGTTTGAAACAACATCTTATACTTTCTACTGTTTTCACACTGCTGACAAACAGAATCATATTTAGCAGAAATGTCAGAATGTTCATATCGTAACATCTCTAGCTCTCTTAAGTTATCAATATATTGTTTTTTTAGAATGTCATAATCATTGTCTCTTTCACTTCCTTGGGAATTTGGGTTACCCTCCATGTGTAACCGGTCACCAGTTTTATGATCAATCATTTTTTTGAACGCATCTCTCTGTGCTTCCGTCTCATGCAACTGTGCTGTAACCTTTTCCAAGTCACGCTTAACAGCCCTCAACTCGTTTTTCAGGCCAATCACACGATCTTTACAAAGATCATGACCAGTCATGCTTGTGCTACGGCCTACATTGACTCGCCGAGATGAACCAATGCCTATCAGTAAATTAACAAAAATGTTAGTATCTGTAAAGCAACTGTACCTCTGATGTGAATCAAAAGCAATCATCATTGTATACAGCCAGATGATACTGGGGATCTTGATAATGATTGTGAGCGACTAAACAGATATTCATTCTACAGCTGTCCATAAGGAAGAACAACATTTGGGATGAAACTCAAAAACAAGTTGTCCTTAATCTTGAAAAACAAGTTGTTTTTGTGAGCGCTTCATACTGCCAAGTTTAGCTTACACTTTAGGGTCATGGTCAATGACTTTGATTGATTAACCAATATAGCAGTTAAATATATTAATGTATAAAATGCTCAACCACAGTAAAAAGCCAGCTCATTTGCACAAAGATCTGTCTGTGTATGAGCTGCCAAAAGTTCACACAGAAAAGCAAATATCAAATTAATTATCGGACCTGACGCTTTTGAAAAACAAGCCATCAATATCCACACTGCACATTGGGCACCCAGAGAATTTTTTTCTGGTTGTTTTCGTGTGAGCCGTTACCCCAAAGTTGGGAAATTGGCCAAAACAATTATGTTTGTTGTAACAAAGGGGGATCGAATTTTGCCTTGGGGGAAAACATTCAATAAAAGAAACAAACCACTCTTTCATAATTTCTGTCTTTTTTTTAATACAAAGAAAAGCATGGTTTTTTAGGTACTTACATTGCATGTGGCGAGTAGTGTCTTCGTTGGTATCTCCTGTTTTCCCTTGATCGTTCCTGATGTGTTGCGAAACTACAGGAGTAAGACAACAAATCGACAGATGACATATCAGCCATTCGATTCATATGACGTGACTGTTTTAGCAGCAGAACACATGCCATCACACAATTTTAAATTAAAATTATATATAGGATCTTCCTTTGCTGTACACAAAATTTGATAATTTGTTGCTAACAATGCTGTGGTAGATCTTTAGAAAAGCCTTTTCTCACCGAAAATTTAGCTGGGTAAAATTTTTCAGGCATCACATATAAAGCTTCTCATGTAACAAAAAATATTGAAGTTACCTCCGGAAAACGTGAGATCATTTGTCACAAAATAAAGGAATCGTGTGCTTGTACTTCACAACAACTGTAAATTTTTTTTCTCGAAAATGACCTAAGGAAAATGTAACCAAAGAAAACAACGAAACCCTTTGCGTGCGAGGCCACCTACAAGCATAGCAAACTTGCCACTTTCACGTCAGCGACAAACAAATTTGGATTTCCGCATCAAGCATTTTCTATTAAATTTTCAGTTTTAAAAAAACAAGAAGGACAAGAAGGTGTATTAAACCTATTGGAGTTAAATGAGAAAACGGTTAAAGCCGACTAAATGAGAAATAAATATAAGAAATAGCGCTTTCGCTGGAGAATAAAATCACCACCAAAAATATCCCACGCAGCATCCACACACCAAACAGCTGCTTCATAAAAAAGTCGTCAAAACAAGATTACACTAACTGTACCTTAATGGCTAGGAACACTTGTTTTCGATACCTAAAATAACCTCATCTGGGAAAAGCAATCATTTCATGCGAGCAAGAAATGTGGAGTCGTTAAAAAAAAATCCTAAAACGCTGACATGTTTACATTAGCCGTGAACGTTTTTACCTGATGTTGTCGGAGGCTCTACTCCGAGAAACATACAGTTTAGCATGTACGGATATGTCGTCTCCAAAACAACACAGAATTTCTTGAATGTCTCATGGTCCTTTCTCTGAATGACATCCAGCAAACGATCCACGCGTTGAGCAGGATGTTCGCTCTGAATGGATTGTGCTTCCTCCGCGCTGACAACATGGCTGACTACCAAGGGCGACAAAAGCCTTTCCACCGTAATTGCACGACGAAATTTATCCCGATGTCGTTCGATTAACTTCTTATACCCTTCATCCATTGCTAAATTATCAAACTACTGCGTACAATTCACACAGCTTAACAAAAACATTACTAAAGATGCGGTTGTTTGCAAACTCGCGTTCAGGCCCGCCATGTTGATAGACTGGAGCTTTCAATCTTTGTTGATCCCCATACTCCAAATATGGCATGTAAAGGAACGCCGCGCACGTGATCGAGTGGAACAATCGATGATTGTTCGAACTCCTGAGTCAATTGTGCGCGAGGTATAGGTACTTTACTAAACAACTGGTGTCCAAAATTTATTTGTTTTTTAACCTCTACAGAAGTTTCACGAAAACAACACTAACATGTGGATAGGAAAGCGTGCGCCTAGCTTCAGACGCACGTGAACGAAAACAGGAGCACTTGGTTACCGGTTCTGTCAACACTTGCCACCAGAGGTTACAGTGTATTGCCTGAGGGGAAATGTCATGTCTTTCTTCGGGTCATTTAACCACAACCCGCCTTAAAAACGTGACCTCAGACAGAGCATATATCTTCCACTCCTGACCTTTTTATTTCCGGTTGGTGAAGAAAAAAAAACTGTTGTGTATAACAGCGATCAAGCGCAGATTTTCGTGCGCGAAAGTGAGGAAGCCTCAAAGTCTAGTGAGGCTAATAGCTTTTTTTTCTCTCGCCTCTTGAAAGTCTTGGCGCTTTTCACACTTACTCCAACTTTCCATTCGGACGACTGCGCTCATTTATGGCCAACTCAAGATATTGATGTTTCACAGTCTAGTGGCAATGAAGGGGCAGTGAAGCACCTACAAAAAAATATTATAATTGCCTTTAACCTGAATTCAGTGAATCCCGGGATTGAATCGACCGAGGTAAGTCCGATCAAACTGGTAGCCTGTACCAGGCGTTCAGATAGTAGAGAGCGGGAGAAAAATTCACGAAGGAAAAAAAAATCGTTTTCCCGGTGTACAACTTAACTCGCTCCTCACTTAGCGCCGCGCTCTGCTATCTGAACGCCTGGAACAGACTATCAAACTGGCAGAGTGCTGATCCTTCGGACGGAGAGATAAATTACAAGCGCCCAGTCAAGAGGAGATCAATCCTCTCCTTCCCGGCAAAGGTAGCCCATCAGTTGCGGAGCCACAAGAATGGCGAAACAGTTGTCCACAGCTACAACCCCGCTCTGTTTTGGGTTCTTTCGATGTCGTGTTGATGCCTTGTAAAGTTAACTTTCACTTAGTACGATCAACTTTGCAGAATTCAATGTGTCTACTTTTTGCTGATCAGTTTTTTATAGATCTTACCTTCTGCGGCATATTCGTTTGGGATCCTTAGCAGTCCAAGCTCAATAGCCTGCGGAGCAGGCGCAGAAAAGGGAGAGGGGAGGGGGAGAAAAGCGCGAGCAAATCCCGTCTCCCTTTTCCCTCCTTTCCCCTCCGCTGTTGACGCATGAAGTTCGAAATATGCCCATCGCCACTGTTGTGCAACGCCTGAAATATAAATATTTGTATGGAGGAAAAACAATTGTTACTGTAGCTTACAAATGTGTCTCTCTCGGTCTCATCTTTCTTTAATGAGTCCTTTAATCCTTTCCAAACTGGTTCCCGACAGGAGCTCGGGAACCGCACAGGACAAAAGAAACACACAACTTGGGGGAGGTAAAGAGATTTTTATTTTGATCACGTTTCACATTCGTACTACAGTAACAAGAGGGTCTCAATGGGGTAGTGGCTTTTACGGTTATCGGCTAAAATTTTGGCTTTTTTACGACTATCGGTTAATTTTTTTCAGTTACGGTTAACAAAAAAGTTAAAAATTAACTTCTTTTGTTTCAAAAAGTTAAATATTAATTAACCTGTATTTTTTGTATCTTTTAATAAAGCAAAATATAGATCTTAGGATCATCTCGGGATTAAATAAGCTATTCTTTTGATAGATCATACTTTTTATGAAGTATTCCACTTCTAATACTATTTTACACATAGAAATGTCAATAGTCAATTTAAAATTAATCTTTGTGAAAAAGCAAAGCACACACGCCCAACTCAAGGCCGAGGCGCGACATTCATTACAACAGAAATGGCCGTTTTCACACTACAGACGGATTATTCGTGTGAGATGGGTTATCCGTTTGATGACTCGCGTCAGAAAGGTAATACGTCTTAATTTGAAGATGGAATAGTTTTAATTTTGAATGAACAATCCGCCTGACTTTATTCGTCAATTTCGACGGACACTGTTTGAAGACGGGATTATCTGTTTCTGTGTACAGCCGCCCCTTCCCCTCAGAAAAAATCGGAGAAGGGGTGTCTGTCGGGAAGGGGCTAGTCTCAGACGGATAATACATTTCTAGCTCTAGTGTGAAAACGGCCAATAACAAAATTCCCGTGTCCAGTGTTTTTAATGATAGCGAAGGACTGTACGGAACCACTGTCAGCGGTTGCCTTGTCCGTAGGCCTCATTAGGGAGTTTTAGCAAAGACGACGGCGACGGCAACCAGGACGTCAAAAAAGCAATAGGTTTATTACGCAAAACAACAACTTTGCACGTGCATCACGCTTTTTTGTACATTTCTTTACCGTTCTTGCACGACTACCACGTGAAAACGCCTAATTGCAAGTTTTATTTTATAAACAAGCGACGACTCTCTTTTTCTCTCTCTAAACTTGAAAGCGGTCCTCAAGAAATCAACTCCAGGGAAATTCGCCTACACTTGCCATTTTCAGCAAATTGGCTATTACGCGCGGCTATTACGTTTCGGGTCACGTGGTCCCAGCGAGTTCGCCACCGAAATGCCTTGACCGAGATTGCGTGGGAAGACGCCGTACAGGGACTAGGCCTGGCAATGTCTACTGTGGCGTCAGAGAAAAACAGGGACATGTTGTTTATTGGCAACGTGTTTTACAAACAGTGACATCTCTGCGTGTTGTTTTACTAGTGTGTCGAGGGCACGACCTCCTGAAAATCGCAAATATTTATCCCCAGCAAGAAGCCACACTTTCGCTCTTGAAACTAGCCGGGAAATAAAATACGCAACCATGAGTGAGTTTAGTACCTTTCTTAAAAGTAGCAACTCTGGGGAATAATTTCTTTTACGGTTAACTCTTTTTTACCCTATTTACGGCTAACGGTTAAAATGTTTCAATTTTTACGGCTATCGACTAAATTTTTGGCCGTTTTACGCCTATCGGTTAACCCCATTGAGACCCTCTAACAATCGCTTCCCCCCGTGCAAATCCCAACCTCGTCCCTAGGGCGCTTCCAACACACTTCACCCAGAATCCGAAAAGCAGTTTTTGGAAGGCCAAGTTCAAGAAATTCTTTTGGAGACACATTTTTAAAGTTCATAAAATTAAACTTATCAAAGAACCGAAATAAGTTTAAAAAAAATCTTGTCATATTCACATTAAAAGATTATTGCATGTGTGGTTTAAGAAACTGAAGAAAAAGGACCTCCCGGCTCCTATCTTCCCATATTAAAAGTTTGGATTATTGTTGATGCCAAAACGTTTGCTACAATTAAAAAGAGTTCTCAAACAACAATACGGTTTCCATTCAGTAACCAATTACCAAGAGAAAGAAAATTTTCGAAGTATTAATTAATTCTGGACAATTCAACTGCCGGTGTGATTTCATAATTGATTTAATATATACAGATCTGACGACTTATATGTAATTAAAAAAAATAATAGCCCTTTAATCGGCATACAGCATGAAACAGTCAATTCATTATTTGGGCCCTGTTCGAACTACGACGAAAAATAGAGCTTGGTGTTTGCAAAAAAAATTGAAAATGTTGTTATCACTTATTTTTCGTTTTTACAACCTTGTTCGCATGTGAGAGACGTGAAATTTTTCGTATAACAGGACTTTGATACATACATACTTTATTATTACCTCCCCAAAGGGGCTTTTCGGGATAATATTCGCGAAATAAGATGACCCGACGAAGGATTGGCTGTGCTTGTCAAGAAACAAGGGATTTTGTCGCCTGACCAAAAATTGTAGCCCTCCAAACATTCTGGATTGCTTCTTTGAAGTTGTGACGATTGGCAAGTGAAAAAATCGTTCACACCAGGATATATGGCTTCTTGTTGACAGATTTTTTTGCAAAACAAACAACATTTGGCATAGTGCGAACAGGGCCTTGGAGGAACCTGTGTCCATTAATGGTGGGAAACTACCAGCTACTACCTTATTATAGGAAATTAACGCTCAATGACTGAAATTAAGCAGTTAAAATCTCGAATTTTTTTCGAATGAAAAGTCCGTCGAGCAAAATAGCGAAGATTAACGCGAAAGAGACAGTTGGTGGCCAAAAACTGGAACAAATTTATTTCGACACTGGATGCGTCAAAACTGATGGCGCGACTTTTGACAGTGACAACGATGAAGATGAACTCGAAATATTGTAAACCTTCGCCTTAGCTTTTGTGAAAGATGAAAAAATGGAAAGAAAGCGTAGTTAATGATTTTTACATTGTCAAGAATGTCTGGACAGGTTTCAAAATTGTGGTTAAAATACTGGAAATTAAGAGCGCGGAAATTAACGCTCAGACTTCGCGAATTTTAACGATTCGCGTTAATTTTATGGAGCGTTAATTTCCTATAATAAGGTAACTTTTCTGATCTCTTCCTCAAAATCACACTCCCATTTCTCGAAATCACATTTTCCCCAAAAATTTCGATTAAGGTCTTATTTCCATTGACATATTCCAGTAAGTTCTAGCTCGGCACTCACTTTAACAAAGACAACTAAAGACAAGAACGCTCTTACAGCGTCTTCCATCTCGCTTGCTTGGAGATTAGATCGAGAAATGAGGAGGCGATAAATTCTACACGAAACAGGATTTACTCGCTAAAGGTAGTTTACTTCCTACTTATCGACATCGATATTTTTTATTTGTTTCTGAATTGATTTAGTACGCGTGTTAGCGACGACCGGAAATACGTCTGCGGTCGTAGGTTATACACGTGTATAAATAACAAATGACGAAAGAATTTCCGTTAAGCTGCGCGGCACTTTAGAAAATAAAGTTAACAAACATGTTTATTAAAAATAAAGAAATCATGAACAAAAG